TTTTTTCCTTCATCTAGCCAGGTTCCCTGTAATAAAGTAAATGTATGCTATAGTTACATCTCATTCCCCGAAAACATCCATCTGCTCTGAAGCCTACCCGTCAAGGGTGGATCTAGCTTTTAGTTTTGCCTTGAGAAGCATTTTCTCGGTAGTTTTCGTTGAAGATGACGGCCAACTTGCAATACTATCAAGCGCAACGCGTAACTGGGCCTCTGTGGCCCGTCCCTTACATTCCGAAGGGAGATGTCCTTGGCTGCATATAGGACACGGCGGATGGGACTGTCCAGATGGCCCTGCAGCTCTGGAGAAACTTCCACTCACCTGCCCTCTGCCAGCCCCTTGTGCAACTTGTGGAATAGACGGAGTGCCGGCCATGGTTGTATTTGATCGGTGGCCACCATGCATAGTTGGTACGGCATTCGACGGAAAACCTCGGGCCTGCGCCTGACCGGTGCCATAGTGTGGATAGTGGTGAATCTGTTGATCAAGGTGGCTAGGAGCGCCGTGTCCATGTTGTGTCGACAATTGGAAGAGCCAATCGAGATCAAGGACTCCAGGAGGTGGCACGATGGGCCCAGGGCTTGCTGTACCCGAGTAGTTCCCAAAGGAAGCAGACTGGGCAGCCAAGGGCATGTTCGAACCGTGCCTGACTACCCCTGGCATATAAGGAACTCGAGGAGGGTTGCCACTTTGCGACGAAGTCGAGGAGGGAGGTTGTGAAACGTTCAGCCTGTTGGCGGGGGCGGCGTTCTTCGGGACCGAGGGTTGAGGGACTTTAGACCTCTCGGTTGTTACATTTCCGTTCCCCTGGGCAGGGCCGCGTCGGTTGGGTTCCCGTTTTGCTGTGTCTTTGGTTTGGGGTGTAGATGTGTCTGCAAGTTGAAATCGTTAATGGCTGTGTTCATCCTTGTCGTCCTTCCCCCTTTCGCAAAGATATGATTGGAAGTAGGGAGCTTTCAACAAGTTGATTTTCTGGATCTACCTTTGACTTTGCTTTTGTCAACTGCAACAGTGGCAGGGATCTCGGGCTCACTCGTGGACTCTTCGTCATCCTGCTCTTCTTGATCCGAGTCCGTGCCGAAGTCCGGATCTACATCAGAGCCGCTCGGTTCCGCATTGTCGGCCGCGTCAGTCGTGCTGTAGTTGACAGCCTAGAGCGGAGGGGGGGAGACCATGTTAGCGACGTTTCCATTCACCCAACCTCCCCCTTCTTTCCTCTCTTCCCGCGAGAATAGATAGAATAGATGCAGAACATCACAAGAGAGAGCTTGACATACCCGACGACGCCTGCCTCCGCGCCCCAAAGTTACCGCGTTTTCTTCCGCTATCCTCTGAGCTTCTGCCTCACGCTCCGCCAAAATGCGCTCCCAGATACTGGGTTGCAGTGTTGGGTCCTTATGTTCTGCAAGCTGCTCGTCGAAGCTCCCCTTCTCGTTGGCCCATACTCTTGCGAATGAGAACTGCGACTCGGCCGTTCCTTCGTCCGATTTAGTTTGCTCCATTCCTGAGCGATCTAGAAGCTTATCGACGTTGGCATCATCGTAGCGAATGATATCCTTCTGATCTTGCTCGTCGCTGAAGAGAGTGGACGCTCCGAACTTCAGGATGTCCTCAAGGTCGTCGCCGGCTTCCACCTCATTGTCCATACTCTCAATCAGGACATGATCCAAGGCCATCTTGCTACGCCCAATTGCCATGATCTTCTCCTCCGGAGAGTTCTTTGTCATGAGTTGGAAACATAAAACCTTCTTTTTCTGTCCAATTCGGTGCGCACGGGACAGAGCTTGAATGTCCTGGTGCGGGTTGAAGTCTGGGTCCAGAATGATGACGGTATCGGCCGTCGCCAGGTTAATCCCGACACCACCAGCCCGAGTGGACAGGAGGAAGGCAAAGACAGGCGAGTCGGGGGCGTTGAAATCATCGATGCGCTTTTGCTTCTCGAGACTGGATATCGATCCGTCGAGTCTTCGGTGGTCGAATCCCATCCCATTAAGAAAGTCCTCCATGATGTCCAGCTGGCCCAAGAACTGACTGAAGATCAGGACCCGGTGGCCGCGCTCTTTTAGTTTCGGGAGCATAATCTCGAGCAACAAGAGCTTCGCAGAGGCGGATATAAGGTTCCTGTGCATGGTCTCTGGATCCGCCGACTTTTCCTCGATGGCCTCGCTGTAGAGGAACGGGTGGCAGAGACACTTGCGCAGTTGCACGAGAATATTGTTCAGGCTCCCTCGTTCCTTGGACCTGATCTTCTTGTTCGCGAAGATGGCCTTGATCAACTCGGGGCTCTTCGACATGATCGATTTGCAGAGCTTCTCCTGCAGAATGGTCATGGAAACCGGAAGAATAATCTGCGCCATGGGGGGGAGAAACTTGAGGACCTGGGCCTTGGTGCGTCGGAGAAAGTACGGGCGAATCTTTTCGTGCAACTCGGGCAAATTGGTGGCGTTGAGCTCGCTATACTGCTCGTCCAGTTTGGCGGCGTTGTGTTTGAGGTCAACGAATTGGAGCAAGTTGAACAGCTCACGCTTGTTGTTCTGCAGAGGAGTACCCGTAAGCAGAAGCCTGAAGGGAAAGCGCATAGACTTGAGAGCCGTGTAGAGGAGGTTCCGGTCGTTCTTCAGTCGCTGCCCTTCGTCCACGACCAGTCCGGCCCAGTGCACTGAGCTGAACAGGGACTTTGTTCGCTCATCCTGTGCCGAGTCATACGACATGACGACGACGTGTGCCTTCACGTGGGAGGAGCCATCGGGGAACAGCTCGTACTTGTAGGCCAGCTCCTGCGGTCGACGTCCACCGTGGTAGGTCACAACACGAAGATCGGGTGCCCAGTACTTGATCTCCCGTCGCCAATTGGCGCACGTTGAGTTGGGAACCACAACCATAAACGGCCAGCACTTGATTTACGGGTTCCGGTTAGCATTCAATCAATGGGGCAGGCAGTTGGGAGAATCCAGCTTACCCTTGGCTTATCCTGGACCAGTGTCGTAATGAGAGTAACGACCTGGACCGTTTTCCCCAAGCCCATCTCGTCGGCCAGGATCACATTGCGGTTCTGGTGGTAGTTATAAAGAATCCACGACACTCCCTCCATTTGATACTCCATCAGCTTGCCCCGTTTGATGCCGGGTGGCTGCACCTTGAGGTCCTCGAAGGGGCTATCCTTGTACGCCCGGACTCTGTCTCTCATTTTCTCACAGGAATCGTTCGGGAAATGTTTGCCGCTCAAATACTCCTCGTAGGCCGCTTTGAAGGAGTCGTAAATGCGCCCCGAATCAGGGGAAGGTGGAGAGTCCCATACGGCTTCATGGTAACTGAGGCCTTGGAACTTGACGTAGATTTGTTTGACATGAGAAATACGTGCCAAGTCGGCTTCCTTGCTCCTCTCCTTTCTAGACGACGACGACGACTTGTCCATTTTGGCGAGAAGGACGACATCGATCAGAAGATATTCTTCGGGGATCGCGTCCTTTTCGTCCCGCTTGAGCAGGCTCTCTGCTGCGTCCTTCTTGGCAAATGTCAATCGAGACGCTGCTGTCACGGTACCAAATATCCAGGCGCCGGGCATCCACGAGCAGTGAGAGTAGGAACGGTCCTGCCATTTGACAAGGTATTCCTTATCATCCTCTCGGAACTCTTCACAGGACCGACCTGGCTCAACATCTTTGCTAACGGGACGCCAGGCAACCAACGTCTGAACCTTGTCATTGGTGGTGGCGCAATCTCGACAGCTCCAATCGCCAGAGTACTCAGCCCGTCGTTGTTCTCGGACACTGGAAGGGCTAGCGTTCGAATTCGGGGTAGACTGCTGCCCAGACGGAGCAGGGAGGTGCTCAAAGTGCCAGCCGCGCTTGCACTTCGTGCAGCGGAACAAGACATGCTGCGGATTATTGACGAGGGTCGTATCGACAGGTGTAATAGGATCAACACCGTCGTTTTCGGCCCTCAGCTTCTCTTCCTGAGTTGCTGTCTTCTTCTGAGAGAATGGAGCACAAGAAGGACTATTCTCCTTGCAGGACTGGCACGCAGAATACCGAGGAGCATTTTTGTCTTTCTTCAGGTGCATGCCAATGCACCATTTGCATTGCAAAACAAAGCTATCATTCCCAATTTTCGTGGCCAGGTGATCGCGTTGGGCGCGGTAGCCAAGGCAAACTTTGTGGAAGGTGAGGCAGCAGCCCTGGCAACCGATAAGCTGACCCTTGCTAGAAACGGGACCCTGACCGCACGTCTCACAGACGGGGGTGTGAAAGAGTGGGAAATCCGAATCGGGAGGAAGCGGTTGGAAGACTTCCTTGGCGCTTATGGCCCTGGGGACTGTGGGCTCTCTCGTGTCGACGATATAGAACTCTTCGTCATCGTCATCTAAGGCAGTGGTGTCCCTCATGCTGTTTAGATTGCGTGTCGCTCTTCCTGACCGCCGACGGTCCTCGAACTCGATTGACGAGCCGCGGGATTTAGGGTCCGAGGATTTGCCAAGCCGAGTTGACTTGGGGCGCATGTTCTTCCGCGGTCTGCCGCGAGTTGGGTTGATGTCTGATGTGACCAAGGTGAAGTCGTCATTATCGGAGGCCTTATTGGACGCAAAGAAGGAGTCCTGAGCTAGTTCGTCTTCTCCAAATGCGGAATCAAGGCCATTCATGAGACCCATGCTAGTCAAGGTGAGCTGCTTGGGTCGACGCTCTCGGAGCTGGCGCGCCTGTGGCTGATTCTGTGCTGACTTTGGCTCCTCCTCTTCCTCGTCCTCCCCCACCTGGGAATGGCCCGCCTGGCGGGTATTTCGAGATCTGGAAAGACGTAGACGCTTAGCTGGTCTGGCAGGAAGATCGTCGGCGTTATCGTCGTGGGTTGTGAGGTCGTCTGAGGAGATGGAGTTGGATCCGGAGTCATCTTCAAAATCGTCCCAACATTGGGTGCCCCTCTTGCCTCGCCTAGGATGGGAGAACTGGCTTCCGGGGGAGTGATTCATTTCAAATTGCTGCAATGCTCTTCTTCCGCCGGGGTAGTCTAGTAGTTTCGCGAGAGGCACCTTGAGCAAGAGGAAAGGTCAGCTTCTCAAGTTTATATGACGAAAGTGAAACAATAACCAAGGCGATCACCACCAAAGCTATAAGTGCAAATCCCCCGTTGGTTCACAACAAGTGCCCCCAATGTCAGACGGCAGGAAGATATGGCCACAGCCTGCAGGGTGATGGAAGGGTAGGAAGGGGTTATCAGTGCCGTGCAGTGTAATAAGTTGCGACCAAGGAAAGCCGAGCTCGTTTTCTTTTTGGGCAAGATAGCCAATGTAATACGGAAGGGGCCAAGAAACCAAGAAGAAAGATAACTGGAGGAACTGGCGCTGAGGTCGAGAGACACGGACTGAAGCAGTTAAAGAGAAATAGGACAGATAGATATATCTGAATAAAATAGCAGATCTGGTAAATGGAGCCTGCAACGACAAAAGGCGCAAATGCATGCAAATGCATGGGCAGGTGGACGAAGTAGGAGGTAGTCGTATGCGAGAGATGGCAAGTTTGAGGACGGGCAAACTGCTGAGTCGCAAACCAAACCGCAAATTGAAGCGCAAAGAGAGTGCCGTGAAGGAAACGTGAGAGTGTAGCAACTTACGTAGTCTTGTCGGCCATCAGTGTACTCGAGCTTGAAGAGCGACTCGGCGTTCTCGCTTCTCGGATCGTTCGTTATTTCTTCTATGAGGAAATCCACAACATCGCTCTGAACATGTACATATTGATTGCGGGCTTCGTCGGATAGTCGGGGAAACACGATTTCGAATGTAGTCGGGCGCATGGCGCCATTCCCCGGAGACGCTGGCGCGACGTTGTCGTGGGTAGAAAACCTCTCGGAAGCCTGCGGGGGGGAGGACTCGGCATCCAACTCTGCCAGTTCTTGCTGCAGAAAAGGGTCTTCTAGAGATTGCAGAGCGGCAGCGGCAATGCTTGCTGCTCCTCCGTTGATGCTGGCGAACGTGATATCTGGCAGGAGCTCTTCGTCGAAGCCGTCGGGAACGGGGATATCGTGGCCCTCCATGACGGTGATGCGACAGTAGTGGTGGTTCGGATCAGTTGAGCATGCTACATGTAGGGCGAAGAAGGGAAAGGCAAGGCGAATGCGAATGCGAAGTGTGCCGCAGTGCGTTGCGCGTTCGGTCCGAGTGAAAAGAGAAAGCAGAAGAAATACAGATAGTATGAGGAATGTTCGCCAGAGGATTGGATATCGGAGGAAGACGGAAAGAACTCAGCAGCTCTCCAGCGGTCGAAGTCGTTGGAAGGCACAATACGAAATTTCACGTAATTACCTTCTCAACTGGACGCGGTCGAGCTTCAGAACGCGGTTTACCGAACCATACCTAATTACCTTATGCAAATATGCATATAGCCCCGCAATAATTGGACCAATTGGCCTCCGTAAAGGTTCACCGCCCAAATTTTGACACGGACAAGCGGCAGAAAAGCTGGACCCTGAGAAGATCGTCGCCGCTACGTACTTTGTAACACTTGCATAAAAGGTAGACCGCTGGGCCTCTGAACTTTCGACACCGTCCTCTTTGAACAGGTGTGCTCCTATGTTATCGAAACCATAGGCTTGACCACACTCCGAACGTCTCATTTGACGATACATCATGCAATGAATTTTCTTACGCAAAGGAGCCTCGCCGCTTCGCTCAGACGACATCCTCCTGGACATGTGACTGCTCGCGTTTTCACAGACTTCACCCGATCTCAGTCCTCCTTTTCAGCTGCCTGGCGCGGTATCCGCAGTGAACAGGCAAGCCGTAGAAGGTCGGAATCATCCACTACATTACGCTCCACCTCCCGACCTAGGAATGGAGGAGGATCATGGTCTCGAGGCGGCGCCGGACGCGTTAAACCTGCCGACAGCTTCGACACAAAATTCGGTGCGGCCACCAGCGGACCGCCTACGGGGAGAGAGCGCCATAGGATCAAAAGGGCTTTCAAAAAGATGCGCCAGAAGGAAGAGAAAAAAGAGCAGGATATGAATGGTCGGAAATCGCGTAGCAAGCGCTTTAACGATCCGGAATCTGATTTCGGCAAGAAGAGCTTGGTGTACCAAATTAACAAAGGAGGTCTTAAGGACAAGATTACCAAACTGCTGGAAAGCAAACAATCGGATACTCCAACTGAGTCGCAGTCGCGGTCATACGATCGAACCCAAAATTATGGCGAGCGCTCGAGGAACACCGACAGAACCGAGTCACGGTCATATAATCGAACCGAAAGCCATGACGAGCGCTCGAGGAACATCGACAGTCAAGCCCGGGACCGGCGGTCGGGCTTTGACAGAATGCGACAAAGGGCGAGGGAAGAGCTGGGAGGCGAAGAAAGAGACGACGCAAGAGACGACGCAAGAGACGATGAGTTCTGGGCTCTGGCAGGCCCTGGAAGGAAGTCTGGTGATTTTGCGGCCGCTTTACCCTATACTACGGCGGCGTCACAGTTTCTCTTCGGGCGCTGGCCCGTACTGGCCGCTCTGCGCGAGGCTCGGCGCAAGATCTACCACCTCTACATCTACGCCGGCGCCAGCAACAGGCAGTCGATCGAATTCATCCGCACTCTCGCCGAGAAACACAAAGTCCGCACGACCGTCGTTCCGGAGTCGAGGCAACATCTACTCGACAACGTGAGCAAGGGTCGGCCTCACAACGGCGTCATCCTAGAAGTTTCGCCCTTGCCCCAACTGCCCATTCTAGGGCTAGGTCCCGTTGCGGAGGATGGCTACACCGTCGACATCGGCCACCAGCTCAAAGAGGACGTCGAGATCAATGGCAGCGAACCCTTTCAGCGATGGGACTCCCGCGGCGCCCACAAGCCCCTGGTCGTCCTGCTGCACGAGGTGATGGACCCCGGCAACCTAGGCGCCATGCTACGCACGGCGCGCTTTCTTGGTGCCGCTGCCGTGGCCGTCACCAAACAGTCCTCGTCCCCCATCACGCCCACGGTGGTCAAGGCGGCCGCCGGCGCCGCCGAGGAACTCACCATCTTCTCCGTCGCAGACCCGCTGGCCTTCCTCGAGTCGTCCCGGGATGTCGGCTGGGCCTCCTACGTGGCCGTCGCGCCGTCGGCGGGGCGAAGCGGCCAGAAGCAGCTGACGGCCGACGAGCTGGCCGAGGAGGACCCGTTGCGCGAGAAGCCGTGCATCCTCGTCCTGGGCAACGAGGGCGAGGGTCTGTCCCGGAAGATGATCTCGAGGGCGGACTGTCAGGTTTCGGTTCTCCGGCAGGCCAGAGTTGGCACCAGCTCGGTGGATAGCTTGAATGTCAGCGTTGCCGCCGCGCTGCTTTGCGATGCCTTCACGCGAGGTGCTAGGGCCGCCCCGAAGACGTTCCAACAGGCGCTGAAACTGGACGAGAAGAAGGCCCTGGGGAGCGAGAGTCTGTTCTAGATCATGTGCAAACCTGTGTATCGTACATAATGTCGCTACTATGTAACAATAGGGGGCAGCTAAAATACTGTATTACTAATAAGCGAATATATACTGACCACATATTGGGGAGCCACGCATTTCTTTGTCGCCTCCCTACCCTGCCAGCTTTCGTGTCCTACATGGTCAGTGATACGCTGTACGGTTGGACGAGTATATGGGCAAGTAATCGTACTTCGGAGTGATGTTCTAGCACTTTGGCATTTGTACGGTGTAGTACTTGTGCTCAGATCCCACACTCACACTCAATTGGTTCCGGTGACATTGCTCGACCGACGCTGGGTTACAAGAAGAGAAAAAGGAAAAGGGGAAGAAGAAAAAAGCGATTGCTCGTGCTACGAGCCTGGTAGAGGTGGCGAGGTATCAGGGCACGGCTCACCCCCAGATGGACGGCATTAGGTAGCCAGACAAGGTTGGAATTGGGTTCAGAGAGGCATGTGTGACTGCCCTACCAGACTTCGTTTGTCTGCCTGACCGACCCCGATGACCAGAGACCTAGAGAAGTTTGAAGACCGCCTGGAGTGCCTCCGTTCCGAACCACTGGGCTGGGCATAGGTCCGGCTGCCTCATGAATGGGACTATTCGTACAGATGTACCTTCGGCTCAGAATGGAAACAGGGATTTGTTGATGCCTTGGTTCTACGAATACACCGTACAACGGACTTCAAGCACTTCGTACGAATATCAGGCATTGTCCAGGGAGATGAGTCGTCCTCGCTAATTAAAAGGCCCACTTGCTGTCCTGACTATCCTCCCGCACTGACGGAGCCGTATCGACCGGCTCACTGGCACGGGCACGGGCGGTAGGTAGATCTCCACATAAAATTCCTCGTGCGAAGTCCTCCGGCCTGATACAGTGCCGAGGTATGCATTTTCACTGCGATTCCGAAGACCCTGTTCATTTCAGTCTCCGGGGAAAAAGGTAAAATGGAAGCTTCCAGCAGGTCAGGGGCCTGGACCGGAATCGGTCCGGGGAACCCGGGACCAGCATAGCAAACGCTAGGATGCGCTCTGTACTGTAAATGTCACTCGCCATTTTTGCTTCATCTAACAACTTGTCTTTCAGTTCCACCAGCTGACTCGTTGATGTCTGTTGTTGCTCCCGGGAGCCATGGGTTGGTGCTCCTCGTATGGATGGTTGGCTCGTGTTTGCGCTGTACCATAGATATTTGGACGAACAGATATTGGGCCTCATTTCTCCGTACCATGCCGCCCTGTGTCTTTACCTAACCCGACTTCAAGCTTACTTCTCTGCCCGAGTTATTAGCTCCAATGCAAACCGGGGGAAGGAGCCTGGAGGGAGTGGGTAAAAGAGTAGGGAGGAAATGAAAGAACAGAAAAAAGAAAAAGAAAAAAAAAAAAGATGCCGTGCCATGACCACTCACTTGCGGCCCGATGATGCCCTCGCAAACATGTGCCTGAACGTGTAGCAGGTAGGTGGTTTAACCATGTAGGTATTTCACCAATTGTCACGGGATGCCCGATTAGTGCAGGTTCCATCTCCCGACCCCTGACCACGTCGCCTCGGCCAGCCGTGGATCACAAACCGACAAATACCAACCCGTCCCAAGGTCTCGGGAGTGGGACGGATTTTCAGTTTGCTTGAAAACGTGTCCATTCACCATGCCATCAACTTTCTCACTCTCTTTTTCCTCGATTTTTTTTTTTTAAAAAAAAAGGGGGGAGGGGGGAAAATCTGCCCAGGTTAATTCGGTACTTCGTACTCCTCGGGCAAGTCATCAACTCAATAACAGCGAATGGTTCCAAACCAAGTCGTTGATGGTTGATGCCTTGCCATTTCGGCCCCCGATAGACGATGAAAACGGTCAGTCAGCCACCACATCCTTCCCCCATCCTATCTAACATAGATAGGAAGAAGTTCCCAAAATTCATAAGAGCAGCGAGTTTGCCTTGATTTTTTTTTTATCTTTTGGCCCCCACTCGCTCCCGAGATGTACTTCGCAGGATTGTGAACTGTTTGTCAGACGAGCACAGATTCTGATAACATATTTATCGACATATCATCCCTCAACTCCCCACGTTGTACGTATCTAACTTTATAAATTAACCTTAAGGTACCTACGAATTAATTAGTCACTTAGCCCTCCGTGCCGTCTCAGTTTAATATGACAAGGACAATTCCTGGTCCGTGGTAGGTGGTTTTTTCCGCCCCTGGCTCCTCGGCTATCATGGATGCATGTCCGTAGAACATTCCTTTCGTATTTATCCCCTTCTACATATGGGTTTAGCCTGACTGACGGATTGCCGTCTCCGGGGTCCCGGACACATGGAGCTGCCCTGTTTGGACCTTTCAGGCCGAGGCGCCTCTCTCTGAGGTGCAATTACTGTTTTCGGCACGGCCTGGTTGATATCGCTTAGTCTGTTTCGATAGATAAATCATGGAGTGAGGCGGGCTCCGTCTCCTTTCCAATGCCCCTTTCATGAAGTACCTTGCCTTAATTAATTGCGAAGTACACCACCTATGTACTAAGGTACCTAGGTATCGTACATTACCGGTGCCCCGGACATTCACCGAGACACGCTTCCCCAGATGCCCCACCGCCGGCGACTGAATCCCACAATATCGAGCATGCACTACCTTGGGCAACACCTTCATCTTCCTAGAGTCATCTTCTTCAAGTGCAGGTAGCTTCAGACACAGGACTAAGAGCTCCAGGCCTTACTGCATACAAGAGCAAACAAATCGATAGTACATACGCTGTAGTCGCTAGGGCCAAGCCGTCGAAAATTTCAGCTCCCTTGTGCTCATTTCATATGTATAGGTATGTAGCTACATATGTCCCCTTCCCCGAGCATACCCCTGTGCCCCCGGTTAAACCCCTGACGAGCTTTCTCCACGTTTTTGCTTGGGCTTCGCAGCTACTGCAACCTTACCCGTGTGTGCCGCGTACGGATTCGTCGTACTATGTGTTTTTCTCTTTCCCCTTTTCCTCCCTTTACTTTTTTTCGTTTTTTTTTTTTTTTCATGTGTAATTATTCCCTTTACCCAGTCTCAACTTCCTTTCGCCTGGCCCTACTCGGTAAGGTGTACTTGCCCAACACCCTGTCCCTTGCCACGTACCTATGTACGTGTACTAACCCCCCTGGCTGTCTCAACCGCCCTGTCTAAGGAAAGCCCTCCCCGCCCTCCCCGGATAATCCAAGGCTCAAGAGGGAAGGAACGTTGGGGGTTGGTCGGACAGGGGCTGAAGGAAGGACACATGTTTCTGGCACCCGCATCCACTCCACAAGCCGTCAATGGGCGTAACAGCCCCCGTTGGGCAACCCTGTCTCTCTTTCCGAACCAGAGTCGGAGCTCGTCGGTAGTTTGTACGAAAGTAGTTTGCTCTGCCCTTCTAGCCCCAGCTTTTAAATATACGGCTAGTTTCCCTCCCATTCTGCTGGAACCTGCAGGTTTCATTCCTCTCCCAATGCAACATTGTCCACTACTTTTTGAACTTCGACAGCCCAAGTACGACAACCTGCCTCTTACCGGCTCACTCTATCCCAACCGACTCACATCACCTCCAAACTATTCCCGAACTCCGATACCAAGCTCAGTCCAGAGGGCTTCTGACAACTGTAAGCCAATTGCCAGTGTCACTAGTGGCTCCTTGGAAGCTGACATGGCAACCCTCAGTCGTCCTCCCAACCCCCTTTTGCTCCAGATAAGAATGTCCGCGAGCCAAATCGCTTCGCCACTCCCCGTGGCTTCCTCCAGGGGAGACCTCCGGCTGTTGACGGGTCAAGATATCTTGACTGGTCTCAGTGAGACTCTCGCCTCCTCCAGCCACAACCGCCCATCAACACCTGTCCGCATCATCCAGGAGCAAGAGTACAGCGTCCCCGCCCCACCGCCTCCCAGTCCCGTCTCCTTCGCGCCAGACCATTGGCCCGCCTCAGTGCGGCGCTGAAGCGCCCAAATACGCCGATGGCGTTTGGAAGGGCGGTGGTATCTCTTGTCTTTCGACACACTGCACAAATTTTACCCAGCATAGCGGGGTGCGTCTTGTGTGAAACGACACGGACGATGCCACGGCCTTTGTGTTCCTTTGTATTTGAGACCTTGTCTGTTGTATCACCAACTGGGTATGGACCAATTTGGCCGGGGCGTACTGGAGTGTGAAATCATGCATTCGAAAGGCAGGCGATGGTCAGAAGGAGTTCACTCTCCTTTCCTTTTTGTTTTGGGTTATATGGTTATTTGGGGCTGGGCATTGCACAAACAAAAGGAACAAGGCGGCAAGGCAAGCCTTGGCCATGACTGTATCATGTTTCTATTATCTATTATTCGTTGGAGCATCTAGACGAGAATTAGGCACTGGGAAAGTAATAATATCATTGGGACTTGTCTACACCTATTATTTTGCATGCTGTGTTTGTGAACTCGCATTGCACATTCTTTGAGACACCTCTGTTGCTGGTTGGCCCTTGCCGTACTGTAACCCAAACGGCAACAAGAGGAGGCTTGAGACAAGACTGACAAGTCGCACCCGATATGGGATCTCAGAGCTGCATTAACACCGATGGTATCAGAGCCAATAGAGTGGCGTCCAGTCGAAGCTCATCATGGACAAATTCGGGTGTGACAGTCTTGTATCGAGGGAGGTCAGGCAGGGGATGGACAGGAGGATCCTAGTTAGACCCCGGATGGCTATAAGGAGTGCCTCTATTCACAAAGGTGTCTTCGTGTGGAGTGGAGCAAGAGTTGACAACCGACACGTCCCATAGACTATAGAGGTGCTCCACTCCACACGAAGACACCTTTGTGAATAGAGGTTAGTCTATATAGGAGGGGTCTGAATGCTTAGATTATTTATTGCCCGCCTCTTAAAAGAGGTCTTCGAGGCGCTCCTTATATAGCCATCCGGGGTCTAACTAGGATCCTCCTGTCTATCCCCGGCCTAACCTCCCTCGATACAAGACTGTCACACCCGATATCCTAACCCTCGACTTGTACTCCCACCTTCAGGAATCGGTAATCGGCAGATATCAGATCCCTGACGTGTCCCGACCCCCTGTTGGCTCTTAGTGGCCTGACGTCCAACCTCCGGTGGCCTGACATCCAGGAATCTGGATGTGGCCTCGACCCTTCCAGATCGTGGAGATGCCTCTCGTGGTTGCCGTCCCTTAGCTATGCAAGCGAGATGGTGCTGTGTCGACGACCTGTTGGTTCGTGGTATGTCTGCTACTGCTGGATCGATAAGCTGAATACATCTTATCGTCCCTTGCTTAGTATGACAAATTGTCAGAACTGTGAGGTCCACCTCCTAGTTAAGGTAATTAGCCTGCATATCTAACTGTAATTTTATGACGTATCCGATCCGTAATTACGTTGTACTCCGATGTGAAATTCGCGGCAATTCTTCCAGGTTGTTGTCGTGGTGATCTGTGGGGCGACAGCTCGATGGAAAATCCAATCCTCAAGCCGGCGCTGGAATTACCCGATATTGGGCCGGTACCGCCTCCATGTCGCGTGCAGGGACCACTTGTCGCGACCACTCTACGCGGTACTTCCGCGTCGCTCGCCAATGGACGCGTCCGAGTCGTGTTTCCAAAACCCAGCTCGGGACACGCTCCCTGGAGCAGGGGCCAGGCTGATATCTCCACTGCTCGAATGTAGAGACTTTTTAATTACAAGCTGAACGCCTCCCTCCCTTCCAGGTCTATCTTTCCTAACCAAACCCTTACCAAATTCCATTAATTCTCTGCTATACGCCTTCTCAGTCTGTGAGAGTAACTGACACCTGACACCGACAGACCTATAACGTCTTCATCTTATTCCAGTAACATCAATCCTCCACTTTGACGACAACTCTTGCCTTGATCTGTCCTCCCCTGCCCTCTCAACCCGGCCGTGACTTTCAACCCTCTCGCCATGGCCCGAGTAGCCAACCGGAGGCAGGTTCAGCGTGTTGTGAAGCCAGTCACCACGAACTCCATTAGCAAGTACGCTCGGCTGTCCAAGGCTCAGGTCTCCAGCGTCGATGGGCCCGTGAAGAAGGTGCTTGCCGCGTGCATACCGAACTCGAAGGCCTACGAACCCGTTACCGTCACGGTTATTTGCGACACCAGTGACGAGGAGAACAATAATACCTCTGTCCGCCCCTCCGTTGCCCTTGCCGTTCCTGAAAAGGCGGACATCTTGGTCAAGGACAGGACTCCCAACAAGAAAAAGCGGAAAGCTCCTACCGAGGATGATGGCACTAGTCCGACTACCCCTTCAGCTTCCAAGTCTCTCAAGCGTCAGCGTGTCAAGCGTGACGCGTCGAAGGACGAAATCCCGGCCGCCGCTTCTCCTTCAGTGACGAAAAGGTCTGCGAAGTCTGTGTCGAGTCACTCTACACAACTTACGCTTGCTGAGACGTACCGCAAGGTACACAAATCGACACTCATTTCCAGCGCGAAGAAAGATGGCCGTGATTCGGTGCGGAAGGTCGGACGTTCAAAGGAGGCCGGGCCGCATGTCTCGTCTAAGCGCCCTGCCGAACGAGAGGCGGCGAAGTCGCGATTGCCGGCCGAGCTCTTGGAGCTTCTTGACCTGCAAAAGGCGATTCTGAAGACAGTCATTCTCCAAATTACCCACCAAAACAACAACACGCCTATCGATATTAGCGACATCACGCCTCAGGTGTCGCGAACATGGGGAAAGCGCAAAGTGACGGTGGACGACATCAGGAGGTGCATCGCCATTCAAGACTTGAAGCCCGCAAAGTGCGGTGCGGCAGTAGCCGCAGCCGGTTCGCCATTCATCGTCACCGACTATGGTCGCGGGAAACTCTGTCTCGAAATCGACACGAGCAAGACCACCGGTGCCATCGATGAAGACGCGCTCTGCAGACAGTTCGAGAAGAACCTCCATATCCTCTGCGCGGAGCGCATCACGGACGATATGAACGACCTAGACGTATCCTTCGACAATTTATCCTTCGACGATCTACCCAAGGCCGACATCACACCGCGGCACAACCCTCTCACCGGGAAGCAAAATCCTCTGCTAGCGAAAGGGCATCGCGCTCTAGCAGAGCTCAAGAGTGGGATTGCAATCAAGCAGCAGGAGAAGGAGACGAAGCACAATGCCATAAGGGCCGACGCCGCCCCCGAAGGCAAGAAGATGAGCCTGCTCGACCGCATTCGCGCCAAGGAGATGGCCAATTCCCAGATTCAACTGCCCTCGGGCCCAGAACTGGGGCGGAAAAGGGCTATCATGAGAGCATGTGACGTCGCAGCCATTATCGGCATGCTGGCAAGTTCGTCAAACCCCAATGGGCTTCCAGTGCTCTCTTTCACCATGGCAGTACTCCAGCAGAAACTCAAGGACTCGCTACGTGTCCCCATGCCGGTCGAAGAAGGCATCGACACGGTGAAGATTCTCGCCAATGAAGTTGCCCCCGAGTGGTTCCGAGTGGTGAGCATGGGCGGCAAGGAACATGTTGTGATTCAGACAAGGAGAAAGCCATATGACACGGAGATTGCGGCCCGCGTGGGCAGGCTCTGATGTTGATGTTTATTGGTGAAATGAAGGATGGAAAGATACCCCATGGTTTTCGAGTTGTTTGGAGAAGCTGTATGGTTTTCGGGAGAGGTCCTGTGGGCGTTCTTGGGGTGTTTTTTTTTTCTTGGATCAGACAGCCAACACAACATTGTTCACGTACTGTATTTCATAATACGATGGGAAATAGGTCTGTTTTGTTTGCGAGGGAAACAGAATTATAGGAAATAACGGGTGTTGAGGACGAGGAAGAACCAAAAGAAATAAAAATGGTGTGATCCTAAAGCGTGGCGAGGCAACCTTTTTTCTATTGAGGACGTCTATGAGCCGCGAAAAGACGGGTAATGGAGGCAATCTCATGATGCTATAACGCCTTGCATGGAACTCCTAAAATGCCCTGGAAGCGACGATGGAATTGCGTCCTCAGGGACTTGGAGTAAGGGGAATTCTGACCCTTCCTCCTGCAGACTATACACCAGGTGTCCGTCAGCCACCGGTCTCAGACTGGTCGTCTCCATAACAGCCTCTCACTCTCGGCCTGCCGCAGCTCTCGACGGAAGCTGTTTTCCATCAGCATAGTTGTTCATTTCCCCAGGCGCTTGTCGACTCGGTTCACAATCTAAGTGACCGCAACTGCCGTTTATTTCTTCTTGCCAAACTTGGGCTCGCCGATGCCGGACCCCCGGAGCTTAACGTTGAGCACGCGCTCCATGGCGGAGAGGATCTTCTGGTCGGGGATGGCGGTGCCACGCTCAAAGTCGGCGATGACAGACTGGGTGGTGTTGCACTTGGTGGCGAGATCCTTTTGGGTCATCTTTGGTTCAATCTTCTGGCGAGTCTGGGAGATGATGTCGCCGACCTCCTTGCCGATGGTGTTGGGCTTGATGATGTCATCTGACCGGTCGACCTTTGTGAGGCGCTGACCTTCGGTGTTGCCTTTTGCCTGTCCATGGGGTTGTGAATCCAGGTTAGTGGTTTATATAGAGAAATTTGCGCATATACCAAGCTCAAAGGGAGGGGAAGAGAAGGAGTGGCAAAGGAAGGGTAAAGGACGAAAAAAAAAACCCCCCAAATAACAAAGAAAGTGGTTTCGAAATCCAATGGGCACATACAGCATTGCCAGATGCAAACTTCTTTTCGGTCGCTACACCGCCAGCACGGAATGCAGCATTGGTGGCACCCTTTCCTCTCACAACGGTCTCGCGCGAAGCCGCGCCACCACGCACTCGGCTACCAATCTTGGTGACATTATCCCACTCGTCCGACATGTTGACTGTTTATTGTTGCAATGTGTCCGTTTTGAAAGTGGCTAGCCAGGAGATGTTCTGTCTGTGGAAGGAAGCGTCGTTTTGTTGTGTGTTGTGTAAGGTATAACGCACGCGACAGGTAAAACGATAATATAGGTGGGTATTTTACGGGAAACGTTGCTATTTGGGATGGTAGAAGGCGGGTTGTTTGGTATATAAAGGTCGTGGAAGACGATGGAATTGAGGGCGACTCGGGGCTGACCAACGCGGGGCGCTGAGTCAATCGGTCTGAGGGGATACTGTGGCTTGCGGTCGGGCTGGGGTACGACCGGCTAAAGTCCGTGCGCCACAACGAAAGATTCGCCTCTTAGCTCCGAGTTCCGACTCGGCCGCCCCAGCAACAGGAAGTAACGGGATTACGTAAGAAAGTCGCCCCTTATCAGCCCTTGGGACCTGTGAAATTCTCTCTTTTCCAAGAGAATGGACCAGCGTTTATTGACGGTGGCCAATCTCTGGTAGGTATGTAGCCAGTCTTGCATGGTCTGTTTAAAGTTGTCGCGTCTTTGAACCTGGGTACCTAAGCGTCTTCCCGCCGTTATCTGGCCGTTGAAACTCGCGTGGCTGCCGTTGCATTACCGTTCTCTCAGGCTCTACATCAACATCCCATCAACTTCCCCGTAGCGCAGGGTCTATGTAAGGTACCTTAGTGTTCGTAAGGTACCTTAAGGTAAGGAGCGGGTGTGCCAGGGACGGACAGGTTACGTCCACTCTGGTAACGACCGAGGCAGAAGATCTCAGGCTCTTTTTTGAACAGTAAACAACTCGTCAAACATGTATGTATGATGGTTTCGACGCGAACCAAACTCACGCAGTATAATGGCAGACATTTTCAGGGATTCGGGTCAGAGTAGGCATGTGTTCCATGTTGACAGCGCAGATAGGTCTCGTAAGCTGTCCCGGCTCTCTTGATTTCAAGATGCGATAATATTTTGTACTATGCATGCGACTCAAGTAACTTCACCGGCAATGATCGTCCCTGGGTCGGTTCAGGGACAGCCGACTAGGGGTTCCCTAAGACATTGAAGTTGTAGGCGTAGCGCACATGGTTCGTAGTAACTTGACTTGTCTCCTTTTGATATGTAGGTATATGGTTACTCGGGATAATTAAGAACATAAACTTCGTAAATCAAGGATCACCCAGGTAGTCCGACAGAAGGTTTCTACTCGGCATCTACTCTGAGGTTCCTTTCCTCTCTCTGCCTTTTCCCTTTCAACACAATGCCTTTTGTGATTAATTCCCGCCACTCAATCAGCCCGTGAGAGAATTTACTGAGGCAAATGTAAGAGTAGGTATGTATCACCCGCGTCCATGCGTCCCGGTATTTGGAACTCAATCAGAACTACACGTACACTATGTGCAGCAAACGCCCATCCACCCCTCCGTCCCGCTCGCGTTGACGCCAGGCTGCATTAGTTCCCCGCATATTTTTACTAAACATTGTAATCATTACGCACTTTTCTGCTCGTTCTCGGCGGGGGGGACCATGATACACGGTACATCGAAGCTACGGTGGATGGTGCTATAACGTACCTGTCTCCTCCCGTTAGTTCACTCGAACTTCTCCTGGGATAGGAATCGACTTACTTTGGCTTTTGCGATATCTCTCCGCCTGCAAGGAAGACCCTTATTAGGTGGCTCCAGGTGAGGGGAGAGAATCTCGACCAAGTGATGAGACATGCCGTAGATTCAGGCAAGCGGGCGAACCAAGAAGTATGGAAAGGGGGTTCATCTCTAGCCGGCCACCACCGAGTACAGTCTCACATCTCGGGGTTCAAGCATCTACGTTCCGCATCAGCACATATACATATTAGCCCGTCTCTTCTGCCCCAAGCCCAGGTAATCCAGTCAGCCACATAGACTTACGTAGGACGTAGGTAGATAGGTCCCGTTCAGTTTCCCTGCCATGCAAGAAGCCACACTCGAGTCCCAGAACCCCCGCCGAATCACCTATCGTCCACGTCCACCTCCATACCACGGGCCGCTGGAGTAGCTGAGGTCATGGAATCCCTCTCACCCCTCCCTTGCCCCTCCCTTGCCCCTCCCTTCTTAAGCTACCCCGCCTCCTCCGTCCGTTTCCTCCATAAGCTCCTTGTCCACACCCCATCAAAACATTTATCGTGCTTCCAATTCGTAACCAACAGCTTCAGTTGACACTTGTCCTTGCTTCCAAAGAACGACAGGCATCAATCAATCCATCGTAGTCGAAATGCCTCTCACCGGACACTGCCTCTGCAAGGCCGTCACCTACACGGCGGACGTCGACGCCCCTCTCCTGACGGGCTACGACCACTGCGACGACTGCCAGCGCCAGTCGGGCTCCACCTATTGTGAGTGCTTACCCCGAGGTTTTTTCATCGTCTCGATCCAGACAAACTCCCCAGCCTTTCGTTCGCCCGTCACCGTCGGCGTGTGATGGCGGCACTTCGACATGAAATCGTAGAGTTGAGATGAAGAGGAATCAAGGGGCCGCTGGAAAGCGCCTTACTGAGGAAAAAGGGAAGAAAAAAAAAAGGGGGGGGGGGGGGGTTGGGGTTGGGGGGTTGGTTCGAAAATAGGTGGCAGAGGAGAAAGAGTCCAAGTAGACCTTGAGAAGACTTTCAAAGTCTAACCATCTGTTTGAATTTTCCAGCCCTGGTCGCCGTCGTCCCCAAGGACAAGCTCACCATCAATGGTCCGACCAAGTCGTGGGCTGGCGTTGGATCTTCTGGCAAGGCCGTCCACCGCATCTTCTGCTCCGAGTGCGGCAGCCCCATCGCTCATGACCCGGAGGCCGCTCCGGAAATCATCGCCCTGAAGGCCGGCACCCTGGATTCAGACATCAAGAAGAACCTCAAGCCTGTGAGTAACCACCTGCTTTCATTCCTTTGTTCCTCCCTCCATACTGGTGGCGTCCACTTGGAAGAAAAGAAAGGGGGGTAAAGAGAGACAGGGAACAACACCGGAAACATATTCAGCGGGGAAAGGGGACTTGGTGTACGAGGAGGGGGAAAGACAATGCCGTTGTTAAAGGGAAGAAAACGAGAAAAAAGGAGAGACCGCAACATACTTACCTTTTTCTCTTTATCAGGATACCGAAATCTGGACCGTCGGCAAGCTTCCGTTCTGCCAGGAGAACTTGGCCAAGCCCTTCAAGCACATGCCTGAGTAAAGTATGGCTATTTCAAGCCAGGGTGAAACGGAACGATGCCCAAACGAGCAACTGGATGAAAGTGAGAGGAAACGCAGTGCAAAGGAAGACAATTTGGATTTCCAAGTCGAAATTGGACCAGCTAGGTGGTATGTCGTTGACATTAAAGGGTTGAGTTGAGGTCGTGGGGAAGGGAGGAAACGGTTGAAAAGGGCGCTGGGAACCGGAAGAGAGGGGTGAGACCGAGAACCCTGATGGCTACCGCCACCTACCTTAGCAAATCTACAGTAATTACATTGCATCCGGTCCGGTCTCAGCGATCCATCTCAGCGTTTTAAGTTCCGTGACGAAATATCTCATGGCTTCTTCACGTTCAACCGATGCAATAGGAACCACTGATCAAATCATGACGTTCGAGTGATCTGAACACACAAGACCGCACTCTGCTACCTTGGCAGAAACATTTCTCATTAACCCACCCCCCTTGCGATGATAGTACCAACTTCAACGCGTGCTTGATCATGTCTGGGTTTGTAGTAATAACCGTCGTACACCCAAGTTAAAAATGCCCATGCTCATGTCAGTAAAAAGCCACCAATGAACCCCTCTACTCCATTCCGCTCGAAACACAGTTGTCTGAAATGATTCACAAAAGGGCTACCGCGGCTATTCCCGCGGCACCTGTCAAAAGACCAGCTAGAACTTGGATCTGCATCCCAGCACCCGTTTTATCCTGCTCGGAGTCACCATGCCGAGGTGTCCCCCTGAGGGGAGGCTTGGTAAAACGGCCGGTCGTCAAGTTGTGGCCGGCTGTCCTGTATTGGGTACCAGTCAGAAGACCGTTCGTCCCGCGTGTAAAGGACTCGAAGCTGCGGATGGTTGCCGTGTCCGTGACAAGGGGTGTCGCAATCTCCATAGCCCCGGTGGCCGCCGTCGTGGGCTCGGCTGTCTTGGTGGGGACAGATTCCGAGGACTCCGCGAGCTTTTGAACGGTTGTTTTGGTGGCAGCCTCATCAGTAGCAGTGGCTAGTTTGTCGACGACGGCCGTGGCACCCGATGTTGGCATGGTGGCAATGTCCCGGTGAGCAGACCAAATAGTGGCAAAGGGGGCGGCCGGAGTCTCGGCCCGGCAGAGGTCGTTCTGGGATCTCTCAAGGATCCCGCCATAGAAGTTGAAGTCGCGGTCGGACATTCCGCCATGATCCCGGATGCAGCGTTCACAGGCCAGCTTGACTGGAAAGAAATCGCCTTTGCACATGCAGGAGGCATGCTTCTGGAGAGCTTCCGAACCACCGTTCTCCGGCCGGCAGATGTTTTCCTCAATGGCCCTGGCCTTCCCACAAGAAGACAGCTTGTCGAATGGCTGGCCCCTGGAGGAGGGCGGATCACAGACCTCAACGGCCTGTGCGGCGCGGGCCTCAAGAACAGAACCGAGGGCCCAGGCAGGGGCAGCGAATTTCAGGAGAGCCGTAAGGCCAAAAGTCACAAAGCTTGAACGCATGACTGGCTTATCACGATAGAACAACTGGGAAGAGGTTTGTTAACAGCATGGCAGCGTTGGAGAGGCTGGGACGTTATAGACAAACCTCCGAGACGAATAAATTGCGAACCAAGGTGACTGGTGGTTGCCGAGGTTGAAGAGAATACGGCGTGCGCGGTGAAGATGATGAAATGACAAGATGAATGCTGTAGTAAGGAGTCGAGGAGAGCAAAAATGGATGTGTTAGCAATGGCCGAGAAGAGGCTGGCAGATATGGTGACGAACGAAGATGAGTGCAGAAGGGGAAGAAGGCGAGAAGAGGAAGAATTGAATCCTGACCGACGAGGCGGGAGAAATACCCGAAGGATAGCTGGATATTGTGGAAGAGAATTAGGAGGGAAAGGGCCACAGAGCGACGAGATTATGGTTATGGCTTCTTCCCCCCGCCCCCTGGAAAGTAGTTGCTCTGGCCTGACACCAGCATGGTTATGACGGCCAGCCCCTGTTATCCAGTTGTAGGTTGTGGTCGTCGACGGGAGGGCAGGAAGCAGAGACAAGAAAACAGGATACAAGGAGAAGGAGGGGAACTCCAAATCGCCGGAGTGTCAAATATGATGGGCGACTCCTTCTGAGATGCACTTCCTGCAGGGGGCCACTTGCGTTAACCAGGGGAGAGTGTCAGAAGTGGGAGTAACCAGACTACTCCGTACGTGCCTGGACCTGTGGCTCGAATCTTACCCTCTCCTGGTGATAGTGAGAACGGAGGGCTTCTGGGGATAGTAATTTCCTTTTAACTTCCCTCGAGGTTACTCATCGAGTCCAGAGGAACTGTCTAATGACGTGTCTAGTCCCTTACTCTCAACAATGTAACTTTTCGAGAGCCACTTCCGATTTGAAGCCAAGTCATGTGCTCTTCCGTGGTAGTGCCTGCTTCGGTATATCAAAGTCAATCCCACCCCTACCTACCTTATGCCACAATGAAGCCACCGCCGATAGCTCCTGCCATAACTGTCATGCCAATGGCCCAACCACCGAAACTCCACCTGGCCGCTCCCGAATCAGGAAACTGCTTCTGGACCTCGGCTGTCTGGCTCCCGATGACTGTCGAGCAACTCGCTGTCCCGCAACTGTACCCGCTCGGGCAGCAACCTGCCACAGGACCAGCATCCTGACCGCAGAGAAACCACCCACTCGCGCATGACTCCGTCGTCTGCTCGGACCCGGTAGGCACGTCCGTTATTGGCACCACCACGGTTGCACCGTCCGTCACGATGGTCGTTAACGGTGTGGACGGGCAGTCGGTTGTCCCGCAATCTCGACCTGTACGACAGCACCCACCGCCGTCGCGAGCCAGGCAGGCGTAGAAGCCTGTTGGGCAGTAGTCGCCCGGCGTCCCCGCCGTAGTTGTTTCTGTAGTTTCACTCTCTGTAGAGGTCGGTCGGAAAGGAGGGATGGCCGCGGAGTTGGAAGTGGAAGGAGTGACCGTACTTGTCCTAGTGCTCGTCACGGGGCTTGGCTCGTTGCTTTCCGTGACAATAACGGTAACAACGACCGTCGAGAGCCCGCCGCCGTCCGCAGTTGTCGTCGACGTGCGTGTCACGGTCGTGACGGACTGAGATGTTGTTGATGTTGATGTTGATGTTGATGAAGGGACAGCAGGAGGGCTCGGGACGCCTGGAGTACGTTCTAATCAGTGTATGTTCCCAGACATCATGCAGAAGGAGAAAAGAAGGGGGCCAGAAGGAGAGGGAAAAAAAACTATGGCACTCACATCCCACACCCCGACACACAAATCCCGGGATACAGCACCCTCCCCCGAGCTCCGTCGAGCAGCTCGGCGAGCCATCCGGGCACGATCCAACAGGTCCTCCGCACTCTGCACCTTGGGGACAACATGCAACGTTTCCGACGCTCGGATCTTCCACCTCGACGCAGTTCTCGCCGCTCATGCAACACTTATTGGGCTCCCCGATGTCGCCGCAGTTTTTCATCCCCTCGGGACATGTATGCCTGCCCTCCAACGCATTCAACGACTCCCTCGCCCTCCTGAGGAGCTCCCATCCGGCTCCGTCGCCTACACCATTCCAGCTATTTCCTCGTTGGTGCAACTGGAAAGCCGGCCGGTACCGCCTACCGCCTGGCCACGTGGTGCTGACGTTGGCTGCTAGCGAACTCTCTTCCTCAACGGACAGCTGCAACCGGGCAGCTAGAACGGCCTCGCGCGGGGAGAGAAACGGCGACGCTCTGTAAGCGTCCTCTTGGTCGTTTGAGAAGGACAGGTATTCGGGAAAGAGCTTCTCCGAAGAATCAAGGGGCATTTTGCGGATGGCCGTGGGGTTGCGCTGTGCCTCCTGGGCTTCGACTTGGGCTGCGACCAGCAGTAATAGGGACGATGGGAGTCCCAGAATTGTAGCAGGCCGCATGTCGCGAGATGTGGGATGTGCGATAAGGGCGGTGCGTCGGTTGGGGTCCTGAGGTCGAGGGACGAATTTCGATGTCGGTCGGGATGTTTATGCGGTGAAAGGTGAAGCTACGGGTCCCTGCTAGGAGTGATCAGGATGGACTGTACACAGCAGAAGGGTTCACCCTAGACACAAAAACGAAGACAAATTCATGAGGATAATCGTATAATCCAATCGACGGATTCTCTACCTTTCAGCTGATGGATGGAGGGCCGAGTTTCATTGTAACCTTGTTTGTTTGTGGTTGGGCGAGCGGTTTCCGTACTCCGACTTTTATCTGGTTGGTTTGTAACGTGCCCGAAGTACCACAATCTCGATGCACGTCTCCTCCCGGATAGCTGCCGTTTGGTGAATCACCGGTTGACACTAACAGAGCTCGGAACTCAACGCAAACCACAACGTCTATCCGTACAGTTGTCTGCGCTATACGTAATGTATAAACTATCGGATCACTTACCCTACATTGAGTACCAAGGTTGGTGTCCATATTCTTCCGAATCGTGGTCTTGTACGTATCCCCACATCCCTTGCCTCAAATAAGCCTGTTAGGAAACGAAAAGAAGTTATTGGACTAAGGCAACGTCTTATTATTTAAGGTATGCGACATGACCATCTGTTGGTCATGGCCGGCTCTAGCTGCATCATAAAAGTCATTTCTACCGACAGTAGAACAATGCGTCAAAACTCGCTCACCGACTTCTACAGGCCGCCCCCGATGGAGCAAACCCCTACCCCCGGACCCTCTTTAAATACGGGCCAGGCGTAGCATCATCCTCAGTGCACCGATAGTCTGTTCCTCCTCTAAGATGACCGACTCTCCTGACGCTCCCTCCAATGGCTGGAGCGTGCCCCGCAGAGCGTTCACGAAGAGCTCTTCCTTGGTATCGAGGACCTTGTCCAGGTCCACATTTTCGGGATTCGCAGTCACATCATACTGCATGTGGACCTCGTCCGTGGGCACCAGGCCTGCCTTCTTGCGCAGCCTCTGCACCCGGTTGATCACCTCACGCGCCAGGCCCTCGTAAACCAGGTCTTCCGCCGAAACGTCGGTGTCGAGCAGGATGATGACATCGTTCGAGAAGGCCGCCTCAAGCTTCGACTGTTCCACTGCAGCCTTGCCGTCTACTCCGTCGGTCTTAGAGATCACTCGTACGATTTCCAAGTCGTTCTCCTCGAGCTGGATCCCGCCAATGGTCATCGTCTTCTCAACCTGATAATTCCTCAGCTGCTCTTGAGAGAGGCTCGGCAGCGCCTTGCGCACCACCTGCACATCCTTCTTGAGCTTCTTGCCCAGCGTAGGCCAGTCCACCTTGGCCTCTAGGACAATGCCGTACTTCGCCTCGTCGGTGGTCAGGATGACCTCCTGCACGTTGAGCTCTCCCTTGACATAGTCCACGAGCGACTCCACGTCGGACAGGTGCTGCTCGTCGGCAACTACGACAATGGACCTCAACGGCGTCTTCAGACTGAGGGTGCGGCGCTCTCTTGCCGTTCGTCCCAGATCGATGACCTTCTGCATGGCCGACACCTTTCTCTCAATCACCTCGTCGAATAGCGCCTGTTGAACTGTCGGGAAGCGAAGGAAGTGCACACTTCTCGAATCGGGGGCCTGCGCCAGGAGCTCCCCTAGGAAGGGCTTCAGGAGCCCGTAGATGTGCTCGGTGATGAAGGGGGTGAAAGGCGCCAAAGCCCGGACCAAGGTGTAGAGAACCTGAAGGAGCGTATTCAATGCAGCCTTGGTGTCCTCGATGCCCAATCCCGCCACGCCCTTCAACCGCTTGCGGTTGAAGCGAATGTACCAGTTGGTGAGGTTATCGAGCACTTGAAGCAACCGTGGAACGACCGTGTACAGGCGGTATCCAGCCATTTCCTGGTCGATAAACTGCAGCATGCTCTGGCAGTCGGCAAGGATCCACCGGTCCATGACGTTCTCCAGTCCCTTGCCCTCCGTGAACGAAGGGTCGGCAGTGAATTCTTCGCCTGTGTTCTTCTTGTACAACAGTGCCTGTTCGTAGAAGAACCGGTAGCTGTTCCAGAGCGGCAGTAGAACTTTAGATACGACCTCCTTGACACCGGATTCCTTGAAGCGCAGTGGCTCGGCCCGGACCACGGGGGAGTTAATAAGATAGAGCCTCAAGGCATCGGAGCCATACTCGTTTATGACGGAGCTGGGATCGGGGTAGTTCTTGAGGCTCTTGGACATCTTCTTTCCGTCTGCAGCAAGGACGAGGCCGTTGACGATGCAATTCCGAAACGGCGACACCTGGAACAGCTTGTTTCCGAGGACGCTCAGGGTATAAAACCAGCCTCGGGTCTGGTCGAGACCTTCGGCAATGAAGTCTGCCGGGAATCGGCCGCCATGGAAAGTGTCGGCGTTCTTAAAGGGGTAGTGCACCGAGGCGTATGGCATGCTTCCCGACTCGAACCAGCAGTCGAAAACCTCATCCACCCGCTTAAGCATGCCCTTGCCTTTCCTGGACGGGATCTGGATGTGGTCAACCTTGTCCCGATGCAAGTCGTCGAGCGGCCCATCGTAGCCACTCAACTCCCTCAGCTCGTCCCTGCTCCCAACACAGATGACCTCTTCAAAATCGTCGCTGACCCAGAGCGGGAGCGGCGTGCCCCAATACCTGTTGCGGGAGACATTCCAGTCGTGGGCGTTGGCGATCCAGTTGCCGAACCGCTTCTCCTTGACGAAGGAGGGGACCCAGTTGGTGGACTCCAGATTCGAGAGCATCTCCGGGACAGAGTTGGTGACCCGGATAAACCAAGATGAGACGGCCTTTCGAATGAGCTGTGTATCTGAGCGCCAGCAGAACTTGTCAACGTGCGAGACCTGGCTTTCCACCAGGAGACGGCCAGTCTTCCTCAAGTCCTTCAGAATGGCCTTGTCCGCCGCCTTGACGTGTTGTCCCGCGTACTCCGGCACTTCGGCTGTGAAATGGCCCTTCTGGTCCACAGGGCAGGGCGGTAGGCGTTTCTCACTGATAAACCCAGTGGCGATGGCGGCGTCGTAGTCCTCTTGACCAAAAGCCGGAGCCTGGTGGACGAGGCCTGTACCCTCACCTGCCTCCACGTAGTCTGCGCCAATGACTTGGAAGCACTCCGAGTACGACTCGGCAAAGTAGGGGAAGAGTGGCTCGTATTTCCAACCGATCAGGTCCTTCCCAACAAACTTCCTCAGAATCTTGTACTTGGCCTTCTTGAAATCCTTCCCATAGAAAGAGGGCAGGCCGCTCTCCATGATGATGTATTTCTTGGCCGATTTCTCGTCGAGGAACTCGACATATTCGAACTCGGGGTGGACGGCAATGAGAAGGTTGGACGGAAGGGTCCAAGGCGTGGTCGTGTAGATGACCAAGGACGCATCTACGCCTTCTTGTCCGACGACTGGGAAGGAAACAAGAATGGCGGGGTCCTGGGTCATCTTTTCGTTCTGCTTCGCTTCGATCTGGCTGAGAGGGGTGCCTAGGGCGGTCGAGTAGGGCATAATCTGGTAGGCACGATATACTTGCTCCTTCTCGAAGAGCTCCTTGAATACCCACCAGCACGACTCCATGAAAGTGACGTCCATAGACTGCGAGACAGCGACACGTTATGTCAGCCTGGGTAGTTTATAATTGCCGGGGCTAAGCTTTCGGGTGAATCCAACCTTGTAGTCATTGTCGAAGTCGATCCAGCGACCCAAACGCTCGATTATTTGTCTCCACTCGGTGGCGTATCTCATGACGATGGCCCTACACTCGGCATTATAGGCGGCAACGCCCATCTTTGCGACAGCATCTTGGGCCGACATGCCGTGTTTCTTGTCGATTTCGTACTCAACGGGTAGGCCATGGGTATCCCAGCCGAATCGTCGACTGACATGATATCCCTTCATTGCCCAATACCGGGGGATGATATCCTTGATCGTGGACGTCAAGAGATGACCATAGTGGGGAAGGCCTGCGGTACGCCTGTTAGGGGATAATGAAGATAATTAGGGGACGCGATTGAAGCGAAAAGAAGGTATTGTACCAGTAGCTGAACGCCGGTGAGTCAGTAAGCTGCAACTCCCCTAAACAGTGAGATGGAAGACTATCACATACCAAAAGGAGGCCCATCATAGAAAGTGAAGGGCTCGCAGCCTTCAGTCAGGCGAAGCTGCGTCTGGAAGGCATCAACCTCTCGCCAGAAGCGAATGGTCTCCTCCTCGGTCTTGGGGAAGCTGATGCTCATCTTTGGACGACAGCAATTTCCCACGTGCCAATATTTTGGTGGAGGAGAACGTATCACCACGTTTGAGATGAGGGGTCGACGAGGAGGTGGTCTCTGACGCCCTTTGAAGTTGACAACAAAGATTCCGTGACCCAAAAAAAATGAAGACACCGGAAGTCGATGGATATTTTTTTCCCCTCGCCGAGTTGCCGCTCACTAGGTCAGGCACCGTGACTCAGGATATTGCCCCGCCCCCGCCAACGGCAGTGTGGGCTAGTCAATTGGGAAGGCGGTCGGGTTCCCGGTACGCGCTACACACGCTACGACACGTGAGACAACACGTGATCCTATTTCTCTTTAACTCCCCGAGCTAGGTTTACGCACGGGACGTGCTCGGAAGCTTGAAGTTACCATCACACGGCACACTCATATTTTATGGTTCTTATTTAAGACGGACCCCTGGATCCTTTGCACATTTTCCAAGATACATGCCGAATATTGCTGTGTTGTGAGCACGGGTGGCCATTTGGGTTGTCTAAGGGGTTGACAGCTCGGATGGTTTTACGTATCCATACGTGTATGTATTAGCCACGAGTTGCATCCATTTCGAACTCGGTAATACTATCGACTGCCCGATTCAATACGAGCTAAATAGAAGAAAGCCAAATAAAAGGGGCGATCTCCTCGTGAACCCCCAATGGGTATGCACGTGTCTGGAGGAGAACGGTGAAGACTGCTATGGGCTGGTCGCACCGAGGTTCGAGAGCATTCAATCGCGGGGTCTGATTACATCGACGTCTTCAACAATGCAACATTCACACCAGGAGCCAACATCGACTTGAATTGCTCTAATTTGAAGTACATACACCGAATCGAAGTCGTCCATTGATACGGGCTCATCCGAGCTGGAACATCACGGTACCTTGAGTGTATCCTCAATCTCAAATTCACCCTCAGCGGTCTGTTGATCAAGCTTTAGTCTCACCTAAGATGACTGTCATAGATGGTAGCAAGAGACTCATCCTCTAGCACTATACTTACTCCCCTTACGCCAGAAGGATCGTGTGGTATCTCTTCCTTCGCGGTATACCTTTCTCCCAATGCGTACGGGCCCTCCCCTGTCTCTATTCTTCCCGCAACGCATGGCTCCTCACTCTTCACAGATCCAGCCACCTCTCCTCCCCCGACCCGATCTCTCCGCACTCGGTATATCGTATCGTCGCATTCCCTTGCTTGCTATCAACCGTGATATTTACCTTGATATGCGCCTCATTTCCCCAAAGCTCGAGTCCCTCTTCCCGCATCTCCCTCGCCTGGGTGAATATTCAGACTCGCGGCCCGAGTCCTACTCTTTAGAACGTCTCCTCTCCATCCTCACGACTGAGACGGGCCTCTTTCCCGCCGCCGTCCGGAGCCCTGCCTTCTGGGCGTTTTGGCCCCGAACAATACCCGCGAGTGTATTCGTGGATTGCACGGTTCCAGAATGCCGTGACCGCAGCGAAGACCCGGATGGACAAGCCCAAGACGGTAACAGGGGAGGAAGCCGCAGAGGAGATACTGGTCTACAGGGTACGAGGATGATTTGAACGAAGTCGACATGAGAGAACCTCGTTGCCGTGAAGGAGGGCCTGAAGCCCGGACACGAGGTTCAAGTGTGGCCGACTGATACTGGATCGCCTCATCGAGAGGTTGGCAAACTGATTGGGCTGGACAAGACGAAGGTCGTTATTGAAGTTGTTGGGCCCAAAGGTGCGGTTCGGATCCACGCTCCACGGCGAGGCTTTCAAGTGAATCGAGTGAGGTCAGATGCTACGGTCGAGAGGAGCCAGAAGCTCTGACTGTCTGCACAAGTCGGTCATTCCCGTTCACTTTTCTGCTCTACACTAAAGGGGAATAAAAGAGGAAAAGGGTCGGAGCCATGCCACTGAAATGTCCAGGGTCGACTGCACTTAGGACGACATTTCAGGAGACGAACAATCCTGTGATCGCTGCTATTGGGAGACGAAAGCTTCAATGGGAAAATATGGAAAATTAGAGCCATGATGCAGGCGGCGGATAAGGACGTGCAATTACGTAGAAACCGATTGAATTCCAGGTACGGACCGAATCGCGTCCCGTCCTCGCGTGGAAAACACGACAGTTCGACTGACCACCTCAGGAATGGAGAAAAAAGGAAAAGAACCCTCCCCCCACCGTCGGTTAGCACCGAGATGCGCATTAGCCCACCCCGTAATTGTTACCGTTTTTGACAAAACAATTGTCGGTAACAGATAATTAAGGCAGTCGACGGTATCGGGGCGGGACAATACACCGTAGTGGACATCCTACGCCAAGCAAGGTAGTCCCCGACTTCGACAAATGAGTCTGCAGGAATTCAGAGAGCGAAATAGAGAGATTCTGGCAATGAGCTGGTCATGTCAGCCGTCATCACCAGCCCTATTAATAAAGGAAGACCAAATGAACCAAGATCCCGAATCTCAAAAGATGCAGGTGGCTACCCGCACGCTTGGGTAAGCAAAAGGTGCGCCCCCCCCACGATGGCACCAATGGCCAGTACGAAGTGTTTGCATGAAAATCTGGGACATTACCAAGAGCAAGGCAACTCCATATTTGATGCGTTCATCAATCTGGGCAAACATTAGAAACTTCAAATGTCGAGGGCCTTGAAGGCCCTCGACGAACTACCGCGAGCTTACATTTACGGAGTGTATGTACACTAAGGTAATTGGTTGTCAGGTCTGATAGGAGAGCCGTACATCAACGTCGGTAGCCGTCAAGCCCTAATTCACCCTTCTTTACAAGCAGATATTCAGTGCCAGGGTGGTTATTAGGGGAACTGGCTGTGCCCCTGAGAACTTCGTTGGTGAATATTCACTCTGTTCTCACGCCCAAAAGGAGTGCATACCGACGGAATGTAATTACGTCATGGAGACCCGGGAAATGAGCTAGACCGGAACCAAGCGTGTGGGCGGATGTCGGTTCCGTTTCATTCCAACCGACCTACGAAGTACGGATACCTAATTACCTTAAGCCCCGTCCCTCGGCAGTGCTTGTTGTTGTTGTACCTTGACCTGTCATTCTGAGACAGAGTTTTTGCCTGCATTCCGTGACGTCATGTATTCGATTTACCGTTTCTTTCTGCCTTCCGGCGGGACACAAAAGAGGGGGTAGAGTCAACAATACCGGTACACTACTGATGCTCACTTTCAATTCCTCTTTCATGCTCTTGGAGGATTTACGGCCTTATGATCGAAGTGGGGGGTGCCGGTAATCTTGGAAGACGGCAAAGATGAGTGTGCAACACACTGGGAGAGAGACACTAGCGCGACATCGCGACATTGCCAGAGAAGAAACGGTGTGAAAGGTTGACGGAGACGACTCCCACGTTATCCAAAACAGGCTTAGTACTCTGACGCAATGACTTAGACGGCCACTCATAAGGAGGTGCTCAAACCTCAAGAGCGGGGAACAGGCGATGCGACGTCGTCCTTAAACCACAAAGTATCCACCAATCCTAGTACACCTCTACCAGAATTTAATGGGTTAGTGCGTATACAAACGAATATAACTGGTTAAGGATAACAGGGGATCCCGGTGGGGTAGAAGTACACCCTAATATAGGAAATATATTAGTATTTATAAGTACCTATACTTGAATAAGACTACTTACTACACGTGTATATCTCGCCACTATCCCCACTATCACCACTATAACTACCTTACTACCACCACCATTACTAATCTAGGTAGTTAATAAGGTCGTGATAGCTTCACTTCCTACGATAGTCCCACGATCGTCCTTAAAATCGTCATATGCCTTTATACCTATCCATATAAAATAGGTGGAAAAGTACGGATCTGCTGGCTAATCCAATGAGCGATGGAGACGTGGGGCGTAGTCACACGCTAACCTATTAAACCCTGGTAGAGGTGTACAGTGGTGGGTGTTGATTTGCCACAGAGTCAAGACCAACGGAGTACCGACACACTGTGTTACCTAACTTGTGATGTGCCTTTTCGACGAATCCACGAAATAGGTACTTCGCAATTATCAGCATTTGGACCCCAGTGGTCTTCTTGGCTCGGTCGAAGACCCCAGCTCCTGCCGGTGTGTCGGCGAACAAGCGACGCGAGGTCGTCAATTGGCGCAAGTCGAATCGAAGGCTCACCACGTACTTCGTACGATGTACAAGACGGGTGGGAGTTTGTTTAGAAATTCCAAAGTAGACCGGTCCAGGCATCCTTGGCTGGTGTAAGTCCACATCGCAACTCCTGAAGCGATAAGAAAAGGAGTAAAAGCATTGTCGATCGGTGACATGGCACCGCAATGTGAACAATGGCGAGGTCTCCCGAGGCGACCTTTTTTGTTGTTAAAAAATACAAATAAAAAAGTGGCTCGAGGGCTTCCACTGATGGCAAATGGATTTGTATCCGTACTTGACTCCAGGTGATTAGTTATCCGTGGTTCGTGCTTCGAGACGAATCTTCCCTTGTCCTAGAACGAATGTGTTGAAAACGTCCCTAGTAGAGATTGGGGCTGCATCCTGAAAGTGCTGGATGGACGTCAATTTTGTAGCGTTTATTTCGAAGTTTGTGAGGATGTTTGGATTCAGGAGAAGTACCAAGGAGACTACAGTTCAACTGACCAAAGTATATAGAAACGGAGAGAGAAAACGACGAGATATGACGGCAATAACTGGAGAGACAAAGAAGGGAATGCACAATATTTCGTACAGGGGTCGTGATGGTTAATAGACCTCGCCGGGTGGAGAGAACACTCCGTACAGTATATATACTGTGCACTGTACTCCGTAGTAACATGCGTTGGGACTGTTAGAGTGGGCTAGTGGGTGCTCCACTTAAGCCTAGGTACTCCGTGGAAAAAGAAATAGCGTTGGGCAAAGTTGATTACCCAAGGGTTGTGCCTATAGTGCTCCCGTATTATGGTCAAAGCTAAGGTACCCTTGGACGGTGGACCTATGTTTCCTACTATATAAAATATATGCCTACTAATCGTGTAGGCGCCCAAGGAAAAGAGTCTTAACTGGTTAGACAGCCGGTTTGGAGAAAGAAAAGCGCGTTAGGCAACCTAAGGTAGGTTTTTAGGACTTTCATCGTGAATTAATAATAATCGTGTACTCTACGTGTATATTTTGGTGCATGGGCTACGACTCGCGATGTGGACCCGGCTCCGCACTGTGGCTGGGGACAGGACGAAACGACCCGGAAACGGTACGGAGTATCGATACACTGTCTGGGGCGCCGTAAAGGATAGTGCATGGCCCTGTCGATATACACTCTCGTCCCAGCCACCCCCCACACACGCTCGTAAGTACACAGTGTACAGAGAATTGCCTTCCCAACTAGGTCGACAAAAGGAACCACGCGTATTGGTTCGAGACGGGCACTCCGCACTTTCATCGCGTATTATCAAACGCCCATATTCGTAGAACGCCATGTACCCAGTATGGGGGTTGCGTATTCACGGTACGTGTCCGATTCTGATCCTGACCCCAGCACTCAAGACAAGACTGTGTGTACCCGCTTCCCCCCCCCTCCCCCGTCTCGTTTCCCTGACGTTTGTGCTTTTCTTTGCCTTCCTCTTTTTTTTCTTTTTTTTCTTTAAAGTCCCAGAACCTGCAACGTCATACTTTTCAGTGACGTGTGCCGTTTCTCCCAATACCACCATCACCACATACCGATATCCCATCGCGCACATAGCACACAATACGCCCAAAACTGACCAGCGAAAACGGGCTGACAGGCTGAACTTTACAATTCTCGACGGAATCGGACGCATGATCAAATCCACAGCTGGTCCGTCGAATCCCTTCGTCGCAACACGCGATTGTCCGTCGCCTATCCGTATTTTTGAGCCAGCCCTCGTCGCTTGTCGCCGACGAGACCGATACTGGACGCAACAATTCGAGGCGCAGGAGAGCGTAGAGCTTCGGCCATCTGTGACCTTTCAACTCGTCGTCTCTACTCTCTTAGTGCTTCTTTTTGACTTTCGTTCTGCTTCGTTTGGACGGTTGCGTTAGAGCCCGAACCAACGAAAATTAGTCTCTGTGTGTTACTCGCCTCTGACCTCATCTTCCCTTTCTACCCCCATCCGTGTCTCCTTCTACGAGATTTCGTATACCACCGATACCACCGATACCACCGCCTTTCCCAGACAACCAGCGGCACTTGATCACACTTACCTCACCTTTCTTCTCATACATCATCGTCGTCCAACATGGGGACTTCCGCGAACAACGCCTCCCGTCGAGGTGAGTCGAAGTCCCCCAAACAGTCTACATCAAAGAACCCAACACCACCCCGCCAAGGTGAGCATCATCAACATTCACCATCGTCATTTCTAACCCTTTTTTTCGTTCTTTTTTTTTTTTCGCGCGCAATGCGTCGCTTTTGTATTGGCGCATTTCCCCCTTCCTGATTGTTCCTCCCAATTGCCCCTGTCGCCCGCTTCCTTACTACATTCGCAACTTACTCACGCCTTCCTTCTTCAGACCCTGCGCCCACCACCGACCCAAAGCAACACGAGAACAACACCAAGCCAGAAATCGACGGTGCCAAGCCCCTTGGCCCTCCCCCTCGACCAGGCCAACCGCAAGGAAATAACACTCCCGATTACTTCGGAGCCACCCGTGTCGGCGACAACAACCTCAGCCTCGAGCCCAATCCCTTTGAGCAGTCTTTCGGTGGCGGTTCAGGCGCAGAGACTCCTGGTGGCACCAAACTTCCCCCCGTTGCCCACATCACATCACCCTCGGCCCTGCTGCCTGGCACCGGCACAACTCCCTTTAACTGGGGAGGAGGTTCGCTGCGAACAGGCCCTCTGAGCCCGGCTATGCTGTCGGGCCCGACCAATGATTACTTCAGCGACACTCATCACATACGCGGCGGGTTCCCTACTCCGAACGAGTCCTCACTGAGGACCGGACTTACGCCGGGGGGCAGTGGGTCTATGTTCCCTGTCCCAAGTCCCAACTCTCAGCTCTTTGCCCAACTCGCCGGCAACGCCGCGACTCCTGGCACTCTCGACTTCCATCGCACGGCTTTGAGCGCCGCGGCTGCCGCTAAGCGCGACGGTCAGATCCAGCCCCCGGATCAGCTCTCGGTCACTTCCCAGCCTCAGGACATGCCTAACGGCTTGTCAGCTGCCAAACCCGAGGCCAAACCGGCCGGTCCCTTTGATCCACACGACAACGATGCCGCCAACGGCCTCTTCATGCTCGCCCAAGGAGCCCAGACTAGGAACGGCGCTTCTGCACCGGGCTTCGCGCCCACCTCACAAGCACAGGCGCAGGCGCAGGCGCAGCCAGCACCTGCCCCTGCTGTCCAACCCCTCGATGCCGCTCACCAGATGGCCTCCGTTAACGGCGTCCCTCCAGCTGCTCCCCCCTCGTCCACGCGGAGCGTTAGCGAAGGCGGTAGCACGGGGTCTGACGAGCGTGAGCAGGTCAAGCCCAACGCGCGAGGCAAGGGCAAGAAGGGCGGCGCAACGACCAGCGTCAATGGTCGGAGGAAAGCCGAAGATGCCCCTGCCAAGGGCCCTGCCAGCAAGAAGTCTAAGACTAGCACTGCTGGATCGATTGGAGATGACAGCCAGGATGAAGATGATGATCATGGATCCAAGACTGAGGAGGGTGATAGCACTACTTCCAAATCCAAGATGACAGACGAGGAAAAACGGAAGAACTTCTTGGAAAGGAACAGGTACGGTTCTTTTTTTTTTTTTTTTTTTTTTTTTTGGTGACGATACTTGGAGAAATACCGAACAAATTGCTAACAGTGGCATCCAGAGTTGCGGCGCTGAAGTGCAGGCAGCGTAAAAAGCAGTGGCTGGCTAATCTGCAGTCCAAGGTAGAGCTATACAGCAGCGAGAATGATGCCCTGACGGCGCAAATCACGCAGCTCCGTGAAGAGGTGGTCAACCTCAAGACCCTGCTGCTCGCCCACAAGGACTGCCCGGTCACTCAGCAACAAGGCCTCCACGGGGCTTTCATGCAACAGGCCATTGAGCCCTTCAATCCGCAAATGAACCCGTACGGTATGGCGGGACCAATGCCGCCGAACCAGCAAGTGCTTGCTGGAGGACAGGGGCCCCCACGCCGCTTCTCGTAGGGTGTGGCGCGATATCTATCCGAACATGACCCTGTCGGTTGGTCAAGATTCATATCACCAAACCAGGATGTCTTCTCTGCTGGAGGAGGAGCTCCTGCACGGTCGTCAACCCCAGATAACATACACTGTTAAGTCACGGAAGTAGGGAGTTCCGGTTGCGCTGATGTTAAACACTAACGGCTGGCCGGGGTAATACTCTCCAAAGACGCCAGAGCCATCACGAGCAACACGGCCGTCATAATAACTCTCCGCTTGTATCAACACATATTTTTACCACAATCACGTTTACCACAATCACGTCTTCCTTTCTGTCACGACGAACGACTTCACCTCTTCCACTTTCTTTCCTGAACGCCGAACTCTGGAAGAAACGGCCGAGGAGACAGTCTTTACGGCGACATGAGGCAGTCTTTACGGCGACATGAGGCAGTCTTTTTTGTCTTGTCCCTGGGCAGTGCGTTCACCGGCGTGATTCGTTATTGTTTTCGCTTTGGGCGATTTTGAGCCCTTAATCGTTTTCTCTTCGATTGTGTGTATCTAGTTTACGATGAGATCGGGTATACATTAAAAGGGGGAGTACTGGACAGGGTGCTTTGCTTTCGTACTTTGGAAGGCGTCTCGGCCGGGGAGGAGGGAGTCCGGGGGAGGGATTGGGCACCTTCTGCCTCTGGCACTGAATTTATATGGACTAGGATCCGGTGGCAACAAGCGACAGTCGTCGCCATGTCATAGATGTTTTGGAGTATTTCAAAAAAGGGCGTTTTCAAAATGTCGGTTGCAATGTAACGTGATGAGGGGAAGCGAAGCGATGCCAATGTTGTACGTGGCATCAGGAACAGATGTACAAATCTATCATCAAAGTCGCGGAGAGTGGCCTATTGGGACAGGATCCTACTTGTGGGATAGCTGGGGATTCCGCTGAGATGACGTAAATGATGGTACTGGGATGACCATATACTCTGTTTTTTTGTCTTGCTGGAAACAAGTTGCCCTTTCTCGTTGCTTCTTCGGAGGCTGGAACTCCCTCAGGCGCCTCTCTCCCTCTCTCTCTCTCTCTCTCTCTCTCTCTCTCTCTCTAGACGTCCCTATAGCCCGGGACGAACCGACAGTCATCTTTTTCTAGCCCATGCGATATTTATATATATGACGTAGAAGCTAGGCATCAGACATACGCCCTATTCTATTCGTCTCCGAGTTCTAGTCCGATTTCCAGCGCTCATCCTGACACTTACCTAGGATGTGCGGTAGATCATGTCTTCGCGGTCGGGGCCGGTGCCGATCCACTTGATCTGACTTGCTGTCAGTAAGGAGAAGGGATAACAGTGGCTCGAGAAAAGGTGAAAGTATTGCGCTTACCTTCACGCCGACGAAGTTCTCGATGAACTATAGTCCTGTGGTTAGCCAAGAAAAAAAAGGAGAGAACGTGCTGCGATTTAGAAAGGGGCTTCAAGTCTTACGTGGACGTAGTCCCGCGCTTGGACCGGCAGATCCATGAAGGTCTGGATCTTGGCTGTTGGCTGGTTCCAGCCAGGCAGCTCTTGGTAGACCACCTCGACACGCTCGAGTTGGCTGAGGTCCGCGGGGAAGGAGGGGATCTCCTACCGAGATCGTTAGCAAGGAGCCAGCACACAGGCGTAGAATATCTGATGGCGGCGGTATCTCGGTCTAAGCAGGGTAAGTAAATACTTACTTCACCGGTGTCCGGGTCCTTGTAGGCGACTGCCACCTTGATCGTGGGGAACGTGTCGAGAACATCGAGCTGTGAGTCGGGAAAGTAAGTAGTGATCTTGGGCCATGGGTTGGACCATGCTGCCGTACCTTTGTGAGATTCAGGGCCGTGTAGTGGTTAATAGCCTGCAGATGGATAATCAGCATTACGATCATTTGTGCAGAGACGAAGTAGAGGATAGACGTACTGTGCTGTACTTCAGGACAACGAGGTCTGCGAGATGACGAGTCAGGTTTGTCCGCAATGAAGTAGAACCCTTTCACGGGCCATGCGGTCGTTGTAAGGGGTTAGTCGACTCACCGAGCCTATCCAATGTCAGTAAGTACCTTGACTGCGGTGGACAGAGAACCACTTACCAGCCGCATCTGCGTTTCCTTCCGGTTGATACTCCCTGAGCGAATGATTTCAGTCCCATGAACCCCTTCCGAAGAAAGACGCTGTTGCACCTACCCATTCCCGACCGATCTCCTGAAGCTTAGTGCCAGCCCTACCATCCCCATTAGTTGATCCCATTGCTCAAAGTATGGCATCACGGCAGGTAGCGCAAACAAGTTCTGGAGTGGAGGCACTACTTACTCTTCCGTGTCTTCTGTTACGAAGGGTCCTCCTCCTACTCTGGTGGTGTAGGCCTTGACCACGCCGATGATTTCATCAATCTTCGTCGGGTTGATGGCGAGACCTGTAAAAATGCCACCAAGGCCGGTATTCGACGACGTCACATACGGGTACTTAAATGTTTGTTAAAACCTCGGGTGCGCTGGCACGTCAAGCAGGCCGCAGGGGTGGGGGGTGGGGGGGGGGAATGATGCTCACCGTGCCGTAATCTATATCCAGCATGAGGGCATTGGCACCCTCGACGAGGATCTTCATGTTCTTGTCCTGGGCTTGCTTGATGAAGGCCACAGCGTCTACGGTGTACTTGGCTAGCTTGGGCCTGTATTCGTTGAACCTGGCAATCTCCTCTTCCACGTCATACTTGAGCAGGTCCCCGTAGCGCTTTTGGAAGGACGAGGCGAGACGACGAATCTTGGCCTCGAACAGCTCGGCATTAAAGACTTCGGATAGACGAATGCCGCTCCTGGCTGCCTTGGTGCTGTATGACGGGCCGATTCCGCGACATGTGGTTCCAATCTTGCTGGCTATAGACCCGCTCCGATGAGTTAGCCCCTTGCGGCCAGAGGTAGGTTTCTTTGCCTGCAGTGCGGAGACGAGGGAGCTGACTTGCCTCCGAGCTCGACCTCCTCCAGGCCATCGACGGCAACGTGAAGATCTAGGTCGACATGGACGCGATCTGAAACGAAGATGCGGTCATGGACGCCTTTCAGCCCCTTTTTCTCCAACTCGTCGAGCTCCTTGAAGAAGGAGGGGACATGGAAAACGACGCCGGAGCCGATGAGGTTGAGGTTTTCCGTCATGAGGCCCGATGGGAGCAGATGGAAGCTGTATGAGATGCCATTGGCACTATAGGTATGTAGGTTAGCGGGATCTTGGTATTGTGGTAGTCCCTGGGTTGCTTACACGATGGAGTGGCCCGCATTGTGACCGCCCTAAAAGTGGTGTCTCAGCATTGCCATTCCCATAGTAGCACATGCAATCGCGATCTTCTCGCGAATGCGTGAAGGATGTATACATATGGGTTTGGTGGAATAGGGGTCCGGGAATCCTAAGGTGGAATCCCAAATAACAAAGGCCCTAAAGGTAAAGGCTAGGAATGAACTTACAGCAGCCCGGGCGCATAGCTGGGCTTTCGGGGCGAGGATGTCGGTAAGTTTTCCTTTCTAAAAAAGCAAAACAACATGCCGCATGTCAGTCAAACACAGTCAGGTATGTCGTCGAGGAGATGAGCGTTTGCTTCGACTCATCCAGCCGATATCGGCTGAGCCTACGTGAGGAGCAAAGGAGCAACCGGATGAAGTCAAGTTGAATACATACACCTTCGTCGCCTATTCAATGGGCAAGTCTAGTCAGTAAGGGATGTATTAAGAAATGAAGACGTGACAAAAAGGGACTTTTATGTCAGGAATCGCGGGGCATATTATATCCCGGAGCGGAGAGTGAGAATGAGAGGGGTTTAACTTGAAAATGTTTCTGAACGAACTCGAGACCCTTGCTCAGATGCGCCACTTACCCCATTGGGATCCCAGGATAATGGTCGCCATGGTGAGATGGGATGAGAGGAAACGATAACGTCGGTGTTGTGAAGCTAGACGTCGTGGAGCTTTTTAGAGATCACGGGAGGAAGAAGAACATGAGAAGAATGTCCCTATTAAGAGAGGCGCAAAAATAAGAATTAAGTACGGGCCTACAAAGTTGAATCGCGTCACTGGGCCCGAGGCGGGACCTGGAACACCCGAAAACCGCAGGGGCGGCGCCATTGACTTTTTTGTGGTGGGGGAGGGGCAAACGCAAACTAAAATGCTGGCTAAGTACGGAGGTACAGAGTAAATTAGGCTCGCAGTCGAGTCACTCGACAGGAAGTCTCAGTTCTTACGTAAGAACACACGGATTAAATGATATATTCTATACACGCATAACTCGTCGATACACTGGGGGTGATCTGTGATAAGTGCATATGAGACCCCCGTTTATGCAGCATGCCAGGCTCGAGAATTTATGGGTCACCATGCCATGTAATCCCCTGTCAGAGAACAGGTACGTACCGCATCGACCCCCCAAACAGGTCGAATCGTCTCTTCCGGTAAAGTAAACAGTGCAATTCAAAGCAGAAGAAGCAAAACACCAGCAATTTGCGCGCTTCGCAACCCACCATCGCGACTATTTATCACGACCCCTCGGCCCCGCGACAATCCTCGACCCATCGCTTTTTTTACTAGGCTTGCCGAATATATCGCCTCGTCTCAGCTACCTACCACCTGAGCACACTGCATCGCGTCTTTCGGCGACTTGATACCCGGGCAGAGACGCGACTCTCCGCCCATTGGAGCATCGCGTCCCCTGGCTCCCGACACTCATCTACCGTTTCTCTTCCACGCTTCAGCTCAATGACTTAAATTGACATTGCGCCATCCATGACGACCGTACTACGAATATTAGATCCGTTACAAGTCAGGAGCATGAGCAACGAGCAGCCCGAGCGGAGGAAAAGCAAGCGCCTAGCAGGTTGAGCATTATCCCGCCCACCCTTTCCCTCGGCCCAAACGAACCACCGCGTACTGACCTTGCATACAGGGGCATCTGTTTTTGACGAAAGCGATGGCGATTTTCTTTTTACGCGTGCCTCCAAGCGAGCTAAGACGACACCATCTTCAGAAGCCGAGCCTGAACCTCCAACAGCAGCCCCAGCCCCAGCAACCACAAAGAAGTCTGCACGCGGGAGACCACCAAAAGACCCCGCCAGGCCATCTCCGCGGTCATTACAAACATCTGCCAAGGGAAAAAAGTCGACGGCGAAGGACACGACCGAACCGCACAGGAAATCGTCACGTCATGAATTTAGTCCAGAGCCCAGCGTATCAGATGAATCCCAGCTTGTCGTACCGAAACGGAGGACCAGGAAGTGCGCGCATGATTCAGCCGAGAAGGCGGACGAGCGGCCGCTTCCTAACGGGGCGGCGGCTAAAAGGAAACACGATCACCACCAGGTGGACGCGTCCGAGAGGACGCCGATGGATGCGCCTCGTCACCGCCCACCGTCTAGTAGCGTGGACGACTCGATCGAATCCCAGAAGATTGCGCTTCCCGTCAGCGACACTCCTGTTATCAACCGGAACAAAGAGATGCGGAAGAACGCCAAAGGACCCCGTAGGAGCAGCCTGGGCATGCGGGGACGAAGGGCGAGCTCCCTCATTGAGAACGGCCACAGCGCGACGCCACATCATGCTGTTGACAGTGCCGAGTTCTATAAACACATAGAAGCCGAGGGGCTGATGGAGCCGCGTCGCATGAAGCAACTTCTTACTTGGTGCGGCGAACGGGCCCTTTTACCGAAGCCACCCCACGGCTCGACGAATGCCCACATGATCAATGGAGGTAGGTTCATTTCGATTCGACTCGGTCTGTCCCGCCTTGAGCGGATTGCGGCCGAGGATCGATCTTGTTACTAACAACATATAGCCCGAGCCATTCAGGAATCGCTGCTCAAGGACTTTGCCTCCAAGTCGGAATGTTGGAATTGGTTCAACAGAGATGAGGCAGCAGCATCACAGGTACCAAAGCCACCCGTGAAAGTAGAGCCGAATCCAAGGAATTTGGAGCACCAAGAGAAGATTGAACAACTCGAGCGCAAAGTGAATAGGTATGAAATCGCTGAACCCCGCGTTCCCCCGTTTTCTTTTCCCCTTTTTGTTATCCGCCCCCCCCCCCACTAATCACATCTAATGTTTCGTTACAGTTTGAGAGAAGAAAAGAAAAAGTGGCTCGCCTTGAAGAACACACAGCCCGTCGAGCTCCCCCCTTTGTTCCCGGAGTCCGGGTCGTCCGAAGGTGCACCGCCGGGTGCCAGCTTGCCGAACCTGAAGTACCTGGATGCCAGTGAGGCGCAAATGCTGAGCTACGTTACCGATCCGGGATCCTCATCCGACGGACTCCGAAGAAAGGTGCAAGCGAGGATAAAAAGCGTGCAGTCGACACTCGAGTTCAAGATGGATCAGCTGGCAGACGGGGTACATAAGCTTCTGCAACGAGTCGACACGGCGGGACGTGAGGCCGACAGAGTACTCGCGCTCAGTGCGGCCCGGCTCAAGATGCGCGAAGAAAAAGAGAAATCGGCGACGGGCACGAAGGAGCTTCCTACCATGGAGGTGCTCAGGAGTCTAGGGCGGATATTGCCCGAAGGAGTGGGGGACTGAATGAAGATGGGACTTCTTTGCTGCGGAGTTTTCATGATATCACGATTGGAATGAGCGACAGGTCGGTTAGGGAGGGAAGAGATGTTGTTTATTTTTTTGCCTCGATTCCCCCTTACTCGGCTTCTTTTTTTTTTGTTTTTTGGTGTGGAACCGCCTCCTACGGGACCAGCGGAATGGATTCGCTTTGCTCGGTGATAACTTGGGGTTTGAGGGGGGTACTGGGGCCAGCGTTCGGCAGGGAGTCCGGGAGCGAACGAACAGCATTGCAGGGGAGTACCGGGTGGTATACCAAAGCCTTTCTCTTCTTTTGTTTTTCTCTTCCTCTTTTCGTTCTATAATTGGATTTGATGTTGTCTCTTGTCTGGCTACATTAGGGATTTCTGGACCTGTACACATGTATGACCCAGACATTCTCTGGCGCGACTGTTGGGTGGACGCCGTGAATCCATACATCCTTTTTCCTCGTCCAGCCTTCTTTTCGCCTGTTGCCCTCTCGGGTATGGTTACACTAGGTACTATACAAGAGATATATATTCACGGGGCCCAGACCGTGCATGCGCATAACTCTCTCGACCTTCTGCCATTCAGGTGCCAGGCCCCATGTGCCTCAGACCCTCCACCTCCTTTCCCCCTTTTGTGAAGGCGCAACAACCACATCGTCATCATGATTTCCCAGTGCTCTGGACGTCAAAGAGAGGGGGCATGAATGCCATGCCCTCCCCTGTCTGACCTCCGGCCTTCCCCGAGCTGGGATCGGCCCTTCGGCTGCGAACGTGTTCCCGGAGCAGGCGGAGGATCTCGCTGTCACGCCAGCGCGACGGGACAGGACGGTAGGCCGGCTTGAAGGTACCCACGGTCTGGGCCCACTCGCCCTCGGGTCGCGGCCGGACGGGAATGTCCTGGCCTACGGGCGGGTCGGAAGCGCCGGCATCGACCGTCTTTCGCGACCCGGGGGGCACGCCGCGGTAGGCCTCGCCGCTGGCGAAAGTGGCGGTGTCGAGGTCCCGGGGTTGCTGCTCTTGCGATTCCTCTTGAGTGACCCAGTAGTAAATGTCCCAGTCGTTCTCGTCGAGGAAGCGGTCGTATTCGGACATCAGTTCCACGGACATGGTGGGGAGGTGGGCGTCGGCGAAGGTGGAGAGGAGGAGGTCGGATTCCAAAGTGCCGCGTTTTCGAGATTGGTCTATGTTGGGGTGAATGATGGCAGAGATTAGCGCCCGGAAGTGTCAAGGGGTTGCGGGTCACTGGAAGAGTAGAGTAGAGTAGAGTAGAGTAGAGATAGGGGAAGGGGGGGAAACCATACAGAGGAGACGGGCGCGTGTGGTCTTCGCATCTTCGCCCACCCTCCGCAGGGGTTCGATGCGAAACTTGGCGCCCTGCAGTTCGCCGACTTGAAGTTCGGCCTCGGATTGCGGATCAGTCGGGCCTGGTGAACTGGCGCCGGACTTTGAGGAGAGGAAGGCACGGCGGGTAAGAGGGGCGAAAAGGTGGCGCCGGGCTACCGGGCGGAGAGCTCGAGAGAAGTATGCCATTGCGACGGACAAACGGTTGTCCAACTTTTGGTTCTGTTCAATATGAAAGAAGCTGCGCCGTGAAGTTTGCGAGAGTTACACGGGTCTATACGGCTAGAGTCGAGGGGGAGGGAAAAAAGAAACTGCACATGAGAGAGTGCCTTGTCGCAGTGTCAACGGCCGTGTGCGTGTATTGCCGGTGATTTTGCATGTCGCTTGTCCGGGCAAAAAGTACCGAGGCCCCACCAAACACCAAACTCCGTAGAGAGCACGGTACGTAGTGCGAGGAACTACCTTAGTACCTTACCTGTATTTGACATCATAGGCAGAAGATGCCTGGTAACCAATAAATAAAGGTACGAATTGGCCTACGCATGTCGAGTAGGATTTTGCCCAGGAACAGCATATATACCAACTGTAAACTATCGTGACAATATAGAAAGTAGTACTTTCGCAAGGCATTCCTGCAATTCGTTAGGTCGTTGGAATGATCAATTAGCCTATTGGGGTTAAAGCAAGCTGGGTAGGTAGGGTAAAAAGACCAAGTATATAGGAGTTCAGAGAGACCACAATTGGGCGCGGAATGCGAGTTCATCGACCAAATTTCTAGTGCAATGTGCCAAGGCAAAAGGAAGGAACAAATGCAATGAGGCTAATTCTGTATCATTCATGAGTTTATGAACCACCTCTGGATTTAGGGCAATAGATAGACCAGAAAAACACGCCCTTTGAACTCCTGGACACAAATGAGTGCCCACGGCTGCTGTCCTCTCGAACACACAGACAACCCGGCACCAGTCGAGCATTGTAGACGCTGTGACAACGCGGCCGCCATTTATAAATATTTATCGTCCCTATCCCTCCCATGAGGCCCGGGCTCTGGCCCGACCCATTCTTCATCCACCTCCGTGGCAGTGTCAAACTGCCACATCCCGTCTTCTCAGTCCACACCAGCCTAGGCTGTTTCAAGGAACCCTTAGATCAAATGCTTCGACCGGAAATACGCGCGCAGGTACATGATCTGCCACACCCAGAGAGCCAACAGCACGAAAGTGGTGCAGAAGCCGAACCACTTGACACGGGTGTTGGTGCTCTCGTTGGTGTCGCGCAGCTTGTGCTCGCGGGCCTTCAGGTAGTCCATCTCGGTGGTAATTTCCGCCACGAGCTCCTCGATGCGGCGCACCTCGGCCTCCACGGGCTTCAACTTCTCGGTGGCCTGAATGGCGGCCCAGTCTTTGGCATCAGCTCCGATGTCGATGTCGAGCTCCACCTCCACAAAGGCGTTGGGAATGTTCAGCGCTGCAGAGCGGTACCGGCATCATTAGTCTTCTCCCACAGTCTCGAGTAGAAGCAAGAAAAGGGAGCGCCGGAGGAAAGGGCGGGAAGGGGAAGGGGAAGAAAATAAGTTTTCCGTACATGAGGTGAAAACGTTCTCGAAGCAGACGTCGAAGGGGGCGTCGGCGTGGGAAGTGAAGACCGTTCGCTGCTCGCCGGCCACATCTTTGGGCTTTCCATACTCGTTGCCTACAGCATCCTTGATCTGTCACGGACACGAAAAAAGATACATGTTAGTTGGGGGTAAAGAAGAGAAAGAGCGAAAGAGCGAAAGAGAAATCGGAAGAAGACAGAGTCAGATCTCAACTGAATCGGTTCACGTACGTGCATGTTGACAGTCATGCCATCTCCCTTATATCCTCCCACGGTCGCTGTCACGACGACAAGGGTATCTTTGGTCAAGAAGTTGCGTATACATCTTTCCTGCCTCACATGACGCGGCGTAGCATGCAGTTCGAACTTGAGGGCGTGAGCTGTGCAGGCGAGAAGGATAAGGCTGCAGATGTACTGCAGTAACGATCGAGTTGCTGCCATGGTCCGGCCCCGTCTATATCTCTATTTCGATATCGTGTCGAGTCGAATGCGGAAGAAACCGAACCCCGCGTCGGCGGCGTCTTTGTGTTTCTGTGCGGGAGGCAATGGAGTCTCCTCGTGAGAGGTGGACGGGGGTCAATGTTGAAAATTGACCAGAGAAGGGGAGCTCGAGGGGGTTGTGCCAGACTTGGAGCCAACGTATCGCTCCTATGCTTTTTAGGAAATCTGTCGCGTTCGGCTGAGAGTGGACACACCCCTGTCATCGTAGCTCAGTATGACCAATCATAAGTCCTTTTCCACGTCCATCCGGAACCCAACGTCTGCTGCCTCACGTGGGGCATTTCAGCCTCGTCCCGAGCCTCGCCATATTTTTTTTGGGTAACTTCGTACCTTGTATTCCTTTGGACGGATAGTTTCGGCGACATTCGCGACTCGACTTCCCAACATCTTCCCAACTGCCATCAAGACACCTACCAATTACTCACCTATTCTGGAACACCCACACTCGCTTTAGTTCACTTGCGACTCTTTCATGACAAGATGCCCAAGTGTAAGCCCTTCCATTGTTCCCTTGCAAAGGTTGACTGACGAAGCTAACTGAAACCTGGTTTCCTGTAGTCTTCTGTAAGCGATTTCTTCTCGCTATTCCTAGCCGCGATCCCGCACGTCGATATCGACCCGGGTACTAACCGTCAATGCTCACCACACAGGCGACTACTGCGACGTCTACCTGACGCACGACTCTATGAGCGTGCGGAAGGATCACAATAGTGGCCGAAACCACCTTCGCAATGTAGTCGACTACTATCAACGTACGTCCCCAACACAACTCACAACGCATCCGTCGTCGGGCCTCGACCACATGGTCATATCGATGTCCAACCCGAGCTAACTATATCCCGCCCTTGATAGAAATCGGTCACGAGAAGGCTCAGTCCGTCATCGACTCCATCACCTCGTCTTACGCCGCCGAAGGCCAGGCCCACGCGAACCCCATGCTCCCTCAAAACCAACCTGGCCACGGCTTCCCTCCCCCTCCATTTCCCTTCCCAGGAGGTGCGTCGACCCATAATGGCCTTTTTTTCTTTCTTTTTCCTTATCCTATTTCGCCAAACTCGGCGAGAACTATGCAATGTGGCTGACACTCTTGTCCATCTTAGGCGTACCTCCTCCTTTTCCCGGAATGCCAGCTGGTGCCCCTCCATTCCCACAAGGCATGCCTCCTCGTAAGTATCCCCCCTTTCCTCTCTTTCGTTCGACTTCCATCGACTCCGCCTCCTTCGCCTGGAAGGCAAATTCTGACATAACACTCTCCAACAGCCCCAGGTCAAGGGCCCGGCCGCGGCGCGCCACCTTTCCCCTTCCCTCCGCCCACCGGCCCCAATGGCGCTATGATGCCCCCCGGTGGCCTCCCCTTCATCCCGCCTCCAGGCGCTCCAGGCGGTCTTCCATTCCCTCTACCGGGTGCCGCGGGCATCCCCCCTCCGGGAACCAATAGCGCCCCCGGTGCTGGACCTGGTCCCACCATCGCACCTCCCGGCGGTCTGCCGCCCAACTTCCCTCCTTTCCCCGGCATGCCCCAGCCCGGCGGCTTCCCCGGCGGCCCTCCCCCACCTCCCGGCACGTCATTCCCTCCCGGCCCGCCCGGTGGTCACGGATACGACAAGCGGTAGATGTCTTCAATGCCAGGCCACCACTATTTCGCTTCGCCGTTTCTTCCTCTTACGCTTGCTTACCTTTTCTGCGGGGGTTGGGTTCTGGACTTTGCTTAATCTTGCTGGAGTTTTATCGGTGTTGAAAGAGGCGTTTTGCGAAAAGAAAAAAAAAACCAAAGGTCACCACGCATTTTGGGATGAAACAGCGGGTAGTCATTTTTAGTACTTTTATCATCGCGAACATCCAAGTCGTAGTAGCCACTGACTGCTTCTCGAGGCCACCCGAAATATTTTGCCGTACGCCGTTCGAACCTAACGGGATACAGACGGGACCACAAGAGCTTAGGATAGGTTAGTTGCTGTAAACGTAAGGAAATAAGCCGATTCTTAACACCGCGCAGCACGAAACGAAGGAAGACATGGCCACATGATTGGGTGGAACCAGATAAACCCCGAGGAAGCCTCAATGCCCATTCAACTTGCGAATTTTGACAGGCCGGCCTGTACGCAGAGTGATATATCATGAAGCATAAGGGGGATCTAATGGTACAGATAGAAAGCAGTCAATATCCGTAGACTCGTTCAATCATGATGCGTGAAAAAGGGGCCACAACATGTCCTCCCAACTTCCAACTCGGCCACACCTCTAAAAGACAAGATCTCGTCCTACGTAGTCAGCGCTGCCCCCTATACAATGAATAGTTTCCAAAATTGAAGAGCATGCTGCAACCGATACGTCTTCGTGACGTACCATCTCGCCAAAGACCCTATCCTAACCCCCCAAAAGAATCGATTTCCAGCAGCGAAGATCCGGTCATGTACGTGTCCCGTAAACAGATATTTTTTCTTCTTTTCTTTTTCTTCTTTTCTTTTCCCCCTTTCGTTTTCATCAAGTAGCGTGGTTCATAAATCGTAACGATACAATGCGTCTCAGTGATGGCTGATGGAAAGGTTGGGCTGCTGCTGAGAGTCTCGGCGGTTGGCCCGCTGGATCACCTCCCCAACATTGTCCCTGACCTCTTGGGGTCGACTGATTTTTTGACGTAGTTCCCGCGTTCTCTTCTCCCTCCTCCGTTCGCTCATCCGCCTGGGTAGCTCCTGGAGTTCCCCAACTGTGTGGGAAAGGGAGAATCGACGTCTTCTGCCTGATGAAGCCGCTTGTTCCCCAGAACGCTCGCGACGCAAAAAGGGCGGGGAACGGCCGTCGCCGCCAGGAGCCGTGGATGGCCGCAAAGATTCCATTCTCTGTCTCAGGGATTGGGAGCTCGTCCGACGCTTCATCACGCGCAAGTTACCGCTCGGAGTCCGCCGAATGGTACGCCGATCTGTGCCGTGAAAACGATTCTCTGGGTAGTAGTCGTCTCCGTCCTGACGGGGCAGAATAGCGAATGTCCTCCTCATGCGTGAGCTCAGACTCCTGCGCGGCCGGTTATCTATAGGCGGATATCTGTAGGCTCGGTCCTCGTCGTCCGCACTTGGCGCCCAGTCATCGTCGTAGTCTCTGTATGTCGGTCGCCAGAATGGGTGGAGCTTGTCCTCCTCGACAGGAGGATCTTCCACGGTCGGATACGCATGAGCGGGCGTCTTGCCCTTCTCCCTTGCCGCTTCTAGCCCTTGGCGGGTATTGCGGGAGAGTGAGAGCGTGCGAGTGAGGAACCCGGGTCGACTTGCCTTAGGAGGGCAGCTTTCCGAGCGTTGTCGCCGACTAAAAGCTCTACGAACCAGGGAGGTGCTCCGCCGCGGCTTTGGCTCATCGATGTCATCGTCAAAAAAGTTGCCCAGTTTCTCCAGCCTCTCCTCGTATGGCGTCAAGCCCGATGGGGTTGCTGGAATGAATTGGATGGCTGGGGGTTGAGGAGGGGACCGCGGATTCCTCGGGGGAGAATCCACATCATCTGACGGAAAATGAGGCTGCGGAGGCGTGACGGGATCATCGGCGTCCGGCGCAGTGGCAGTAATCTTTGGTCTCTCTGGTGTACCCTCCGGAGTCGTCTTATCTTTCTGGGAAATGTCTGATGATTCGAACGATTTGGGCGAATGGTCAACCATGAGGATGGATGAGTTTTGGTGAGGGAAGATGCTGACAGCGAAAGCCTCTGACACCTCAGGGGCAGTCCCGTTGGTGTCAAAAGAAACCACTGAGAAAGGCGTATTCTTCCGTGAAGATTTCCTGTTGACCAACGGGTCGTAATGGTCCATGTCGGGTTTGTCATGAGAGTCTATTGGGTGCAGGTGATGGTCCTCCTGGCCCGACTCGAGCGAAAACATCCTCTGAAGTGTGTCTGGAGGCGCCTCGGTCCCTTGGGCCTGTGATGAGTGTTGGGGATCATTCCACGCTTTGAAGCTCTCTCCAATCATGGACCCTGCGCGCGAGTTATTGCGGCTTGTCGGCGCCGAGAGCGACGATGACCGAGCTGGTATAATAGGCGGATAATCCATAGTCCTATGATCTGAGCGATCTGACTCCGAAAGCGCCCTTGTTCCCCGGGATAGTCGGGTGAATACAGGGGTCGCGTCGCCGCTTGTCGAACCTTTTATACGTGGCGCCGAGCCGACGCTCATACTCCTGTTCGTCTTGCGGCTGCTGGTTGATCTCAAGGATGGAGTTTTCGGGGGATGTAGGGAGGACCGTCGATTTGGAACAACAACCACGGGAATTCCACCGCTTTTCCATATCTCGCGGCGGGCTTTGCTACTCGCGACTGAGTTGTGAGTCGCAGTAGAGGCATAGCTGTCCTGGCGTCTATCCGACGGACGGGTGCGAGGTCGCGGTCGTCGCGTGTCGTCCTCAAGTCTAACCAACGAGCTAGGAGGGGAGCTGCTAGGAGACGACTCGGTACCCGAAGCCCTCAGGGCTCGTCGCTTCTTCACATGCCTCAGCGTCTGTGGACGATGCGGCGTGGTTGTATCCACCAGCATTACCTCCACCACAGTTGAAACGTTTGACTTTGATGATACTCCTGAATGTCTTCGGTCATCTAAAACAGTTCGGGTATCCGGGGTGGACGGCTGTACCCGAGACGTGCCACGCATGGATGCGTCTCGCGGGGTTTGGTGAGCGGCAGATAACTGGTGCAAAGGCATGGAGCGCAGGGTCTCTGCGGCATTCGAAAGCGCGACAACGTCGTCTTCTAAGATCCGGGGTCTTCGCGGAGAAGCGCCGCCGGCGGGACGTGTTCCGCGCTCCTCAGAAGTCTTTCGTGATTTCCGGATCAGAGGGGACACAGGGTCAGGATTCAGGTCCTGCTCGTGTTCACTCGATGATATCGATTCCCTGTCAAACGTGATGAATTCGCCTTTCGTTCCCGGTGTAAAGTCTTTCTCGGCTGCGGAGCCAGTGTCATTCCCTGGACTGGACGACCGTGGCGATTGTTTTGTCCTGGTATCTGAGCCCGGACAAAGGGATAATTGGGTAGCGCGTGCCGAGGATGTCGGCCGTATGGTTAACCTGGAATCATCTTCGCCCGAGGAGGAGTAAGGCTCTTCTCTCGCCGTACGGAAAGATTCTGGTCGGGACCCCGTAGTAGACTTGGAGACGGAACGATCTCCAAAGACGGGTCGTAGAGGAGCCCTGGGGCGGCGATGGTGTTGCGGTGGGGTTTCGTCAGGCGTCGGGGGGCTCGTCGGGTTCGGTGGCGTCGCTGGTCGGTTGACACGAATATGAACCTTCTCCTCGCTGCGTGAAGGTGTACCGGGAAGAATCGGGCTCGGAGGCGGGATGGAGTGGCTGCTAGACGATGTCCGAGAGTGAGTCGGAGGGGTTGGAGGCATCGCAGGCCCGGCCCGAGCCCGCCTCGACTGAGAAACGGGGGATGTGGATCGCTGCAAGCCCTCTCTCAGAGTATTGGCTGTCTCGTCAACGAGGTCGTGCTGTCCAAACGTTGGCGACCTCCGGTCGGCCGAAGCACTTCGCGCTTGGTTCTGTTGTTTGGAGGGGTGCGGTAGTGATTTGTGTTTTCGAAACATTTTAGGGCCTGTTGAAGTCTGGTCGGACGGGTCATAGCCAGAATCCAAAGGCTGGGCTGTCATGATGGGGCGTGTATCATCAAATTTGCGGCAACGGTCATATAGAGGTGCTTGGGCGCTGCACACTACGTCGCGAGCGGTATTCGTTCGTGGTGCGATGAATGCCAGCGCGTCCCCCACCGCCCGCCGCAATCTAGCCGGTTCTGTAGGCTATGTCGAGAAGCCGAAAGGAGGGTAGACGACTCTTGGCATGCTCGGTAGGAGGATTGATTATGAATGTCTCGATTTTCGTGATGCGTTGGCAAGTTGGAAGTCAGGGCGGATGAAAGCTAGCCAGTGTTTCCGGCGGCTAGCGAGTCAGTGACAGGCGGTAGGTAGGTCGGAGGGATATAGGCAATCCAGAAAGAATTGTGTGGATAAGTTGAGAGCGATGGCGCCAAGAAAGGCAGATGTCGGCGTCAGCGAGACGGTGTCGAACTAGGTAGCAAGACTCAGACCAGAGCCAGACGGATCCGAAGATGCGAAAGCAGTGTATCCCCGGCTCTTGTATCTATGCAAGGTTCCCACAGAGAGCGTCGTCGGTCCGTTCGTCGCAGTCGGAAAAGAGCAGGGCATTCTATCAAAGGTGGGTATCCTTTAGATATATGGCAGGTCGTCGGTATGTTCGCATTCGTTCGTGGATAGAGTCAGTTGCATAAAGAGCTGTGAGACTCGCGGTCTATGAAGATGCGCAGGATTCTTCTGTGGCGGAGGCAGACAAATGAGCAGAATATTAAGTCATGATAGCTGCCGGGAGTTGTTTTCGAGATCCTTTTCATGTGCACTTTGGGGTGTTTCGAGGGTGAAGTGGTAGGTGGGAAAAAAGAAGCGGACTCGTGATTGGCAGTGAGGGATGAACAAGGCACGAGTACATGGGTCTGGTACTCTGCACGGGTACCTTACTAAGGTAAAATGATGGCTGGTCAGGACCATCAGATGTCCATGATCCCTAATTCCTGCCAAGTTTTTACTTCATAGGTACTTGGTACCATCTGTCATGTGTACTTCGTATGTTGACGGGAAACGAAGAACGAAACAGAAGTTGGTCACTGGTTACAGGTAACGTCCTCAAAGCGTCACCTTTCAAAGGAAGGCGGCGGCAGGGCAGGGATAAGAGGGGAACGTCGAGGGAGGAGGTTGGTAAAAATGGCAAGTAGGACGCACGAATGAGTACGAAATTATTACCAAGTATCCGTATCCGTACGGAGTACAAAGTAATCACTCCGTATAGGTACATATAAAAGTACTTTCGACAACAAACACATGCTTTCGTTCCCTAAAAGGTACCTTACAACGTACATCTTGAAGGGAACTACCGAGTCCAATTACGGAGCACGGGCAGGAACAAAGGAACTACGGATTATAACGGTTAATCCCGTGAAGGCCCGGAGCTGGAGCTTTACCCTATAACAAAGCCACTTTTATTAGGCACCTACAGCACCTATAATTACGATGTATATATAAGCATTGGCATAGATATAGCAGATATTGAGAGGCACGGAATAGTGTAGTAAAGCGTGTGAATTACTATTCTTTACCTATAGTAGGCCAGGAATAATGCTCTATAAGGTACGGAGTAAGCGTTACGACGTATATATAAAGTATACCTAAGAACCTTGGTAGAGATGTACGGAGTTAAGGTACTTGATAAATACCGGTACGCAGTCGCTGCTTAACCCACTTCCAGTCTAAGTTATCACTTCAGTGTTATCCTAATAGCGACCTGTTCACCGTTGACGTTGTTGGACTTGTTGGAGTTGGACCGGTTAAAATAAGTTCCGATGACCCACGTTTCAGTGAAAAATCGTGACACTTAAGCTGCCTAATCGGTTTTGCGAAGTACTTCGTAATTCGTACCTGCGACCCCGAGGTGGTCCTCTCTTCCTCGCGTCGGTCAGTTGTGAGGTGAATAACACGGACGAAGTAAGGTAGGCACCGAGGACTTATGTTTGTACAGAGGCACTTTCGTACTTTCGGATCCCATCAAACATGACTGTGAATATCTATGCCGTCTTCCAATGTCCGTCCTCGTCGCTCCCTGTATCGTCCTCCGTCTAGAAACTGCCAGCTACCGGGTAGCAAACGATATGGTAAGCCGACTGACTCTATAGCGAGGTGCGTCTCGGTCTGGTGCTCCTTGGGTTTTCGGACCTGACCGGTCTTGCTGCTGCCAACTCGGGGAATCACCGCAAAAACGTCTCGGGAATCCAGGTCCGCTTTGGACAAGACTTGCAGCAGAAGAAGCTCCTTGTTATGTTACTCCTTGGCACCGAGATAGATGGCGGCGGTATCTGATTCCACCATGAGTTTATTCCATCTTCGCGAACATCATGTCTTGCCTCATATGTTCGAAGTCCTTCTGCTTTTTTTACCTCTTCTTCTGGTCTTTTTTTATTTATTCTTCTTTTTCCCCCTCGCCCAAGCACATCCGATGTCGGGCCCTTAGCCTGCTGACTGACTCTCCTGCCGCGGACACACCGCGTTCGTTCTTCGACTCATGGGTCCTGGCCGAGGGGCTGATAGTCTGATAAGACTTGTCCGTACGTTGACCGTATACGAATTCCCCTCGACTGGGACACGTAGGTGGGCGATTTCGGAATCCTAAACCCGATGAAAATGAGAATTGGGCCCTCGGGGGGTTTTTTCCCCCTTAACAATTCGATATCATCATCGCCAAGAAACTACAAACCACAAACACACAACAAAACACAACAACGGAAACAGAGCCGATCTGGCATGTTTTTATCTATTCATATTGCTCAACG